GCCTTTCGCTGAGTTTTGCTCTCCAACTTGCAAAATCAAAGCCTCGGGAATGGACTGGAACAAGAGCGCCGTCGCAACATCGTTCTTCTTCACGTCGGTGGATCCCGGTTCTATTGTCTCCCACACTTCGCTTACTCGAAGGGTGACCTTCATCCTCATCGCCCAAACCGTATAGTTTGTCGATGTCAACATAGGACAATGAATCGATGGAGATCCAAGGTCCTTTGTTCTTGGTGGAGGATTCTGCTCATCCGCCATCTTCTTCGCACACTATTCTTTTATCAAAAGCTTTTAACCTAAGCTCTGATACCAATTGTTGGGAATCTAAACCAAGCCAACTTTCCATTAGTATGATATTGTCCGCTTTGGGCTTATCACTCAAGCCCGCACGGATTTATTGTGCTCCTTCCCAAAAGGCTTCATACTAATTAGAGTTGGACTTAACTTATATATTAGAAACTTCTCTTTCTAATCTTCCGATGTGGGATATTGGTTTGTATTCCAATAAGTAAATGTTAATGTGGGATGTTATATAACAAGTAAAAAATTACAGTTTTATCTCTCATTCATATTTTTGTCTTAGAAATAAATCACACAAAAGTCAAAATCGTAAAAAGTCGTAATGTATTTGACCGGTTTGACGAGAAATTTAGAAGAATGAAATTGCCAGCTGTGAAGCGGAGACGGTGGAGAGGGACAGTGGCAAAAAGGGTAATAAACACTAAGAAGGAAGGGTAATGCTGACTCACCAAGCAGCTTCTTCTTCTTCTAACGTAGTTTGGTAATAAAAGTCCAAAAAACCGAACCACTTTTCTCTCTTTATTTTCGTCGGTTCGATTCACTTGTGTTCTGTTCTGTTGTTGTTGTTTCATTTCGCCACCGTTACTGTCACCGGAGCTCGATCCTTCTTCTTCAAGGTACAAAATCTCATATATCATCATCACTTTGCTCATTAAGCTGACTTTGCTCACTCTTCGATTCGATCCGGTTAGCTCAAGCCTTAAATTAATTCACTTTTTAGTGTATTTTTCAAGTTTTGAGTATTAGTGCTCGTTATGCTCTATGTATCAGGTTCTCGTAAAATCTTTTAGTGTTTTATTTTATTTTTATATAAATAAAAAAGTTTCTACAGTAATCTGCTCATGTTTCTTGATCACATAGCTATGAGTTGAAGCTTCTTGATTCAGCAATCAATGTTTCTTTTACATATTCTTCACTATTGCTTTATCATATTCCCATTTGATTGCTCCCAATTTTTTTTAATTTTTTTGGGGCAGATTTATAGATTTCTAATCCATGTAACTGTTGGATCTTTGTTAGTCTTTGGTTATATAACCTTTCATGCAAAATGGATTCGGATCTATTGTAAGGGAAACTCAAAAACTAGTTACCAATTATCATTCATTCTTTTAAAATTGCTAAAGTTTTTTACTTGGGTACATTTTGATGGAAGTGAAATAAGATTCAACCCTCAATTATTGTCAGTATAATAAGAGACATAAACAAAAAAGAAAGAAACAACGCATATGGTGATGATAATGATAGCTGTCTCTTGTTTTTATCATTCTCTTGCTGTGCTTTCTGGTTCCCATTCCCCCTAAAGTTTCTCTTGTGGCTCCACTTGCATTCTCCAGCCAATTACTTCTTTCTTCTCTTCATCAGATACCATCTCATTCTTATTTAATAAACACATATTTTCAGATTTTGTTTTGGACCACTCTTTAGTTGATTAGCAATTTTGTAATCAGTTCAAAAACTATGTCGCATTGGTATGGATCTGTATAGTTTGAGATTGTATCATTTGTGTTGAATGTGAGTATCTACTTTGGATTATTTCAGGATATGTATCTTAGTTCTCAATCTTGATTTTTTGTTTTACTTTCATTCCCAGAGAAGGAATGAATCTATCTGTAGTTGACCAATCTCACCTTTATGGCATATAATATTACTTAAAGGATTTTAATATTGTAGTGCCAGTGTCTATATGTTTGGTCATGTCAGGCTCCAATTGAATCATATACTTCTTTATTTCATTCCTGTTACCATCCAACTTAGTGTCAACCCCTAATTTTATATTACTTTACTAAACATTTGATAATGATTGGTATAGTTTCCAATTATATACATATATTTGCTAATGGTCTTGAACAAGTTAAGAGTTTCTTCTTCTCACATGTCTGTCTTCGCTGTGACATTGTGCAGAGTTAAGATCGTGATGCTTGATGGAGTTCTAGATGTCCCGGAGATGACTTTTTAGTTCCAAATCTCGAAACTTTTTTAAGTGCCTTTTTTGATTGATTGGAGAAATGAGAAAGCATAGTATAAGAGACTCCTTGAAATCTTTCTTTGAGCCTCATCTTCATCCTGACAATGGTGAATTGCTCAAAGGAACTAAAACTGGTAAGTTTCTTTCTTCACTTGTTTGTTTACTTTTTGATTTGGTCTTTTTTTTGGTTTTGGATTTGTTTAAAAGAAAGACCAAATACTTTGATCAACAATGCAGAGATGGATGAAAAGGTGAAGAAAATATTGGGAATTGTTGAGAGTGGAGATATTGAGGAAGATGAATCCAAAAGAGTTGTGGTTACAGAGTTAGTGAAGGAATTCTACAAAGAGTATGAATCTTTGTATCGCCAATACGATGATTTAACTGGTGAGATCAGGAAAAAAGTCCATGGCAAAGGAGAGAACGAGAGCTCTTCTTCTTCGAGCTCAGACTCGGATTCAGACGAGAAGAGCAAGAGAAACGGGCAGGCTGAGAATGACATAGAGTTGGTAAAGAAACAGATTGAAGATGCAAATCTTGAAATTGCTGATCTGAAAAGGAAGTTAGCAACAACCGATGCAGACAAAGAAGCTGCAGAATCAGAGCACCAAGAGATTGTGAACAAGTTGAAGGAATCAGAAGAGATCTGTGGTAATTTGAGACTTGAAGCTGAGAAGTTAGCGAGTGAAAACAAAGAACTAAAGCAGAAACTGGAAGTTGCTGGTGAGACGGAATCTGAGCTTAATCAGAAGCTAGAAGATGTGAAGAAGGAGAGAGATGCATTGGAAGCAGAGCTTGAGAACAAGTCTCAAGAAGTTTCTGAGTATGTGAATCAGATTACGAATCTAAAAGGTGAGATGGCAAACAAGGCCAAAGATCACGAGAATACACTAGAAGAAAACAACCGTCTACAAGCGCAAAAGAACGAAACAGAAGCAGAACTCGAGAGAGAGAAGCAAGAGAAGCCAGCGTTACTGAATCAGATCAATGATGTGCAGAAAGCTTTGTTAGAGCAAGAAGCTGCCTACAATACGCTGAGCCAAGAACATAAACAGATCAACGGTTTGTTTGAAGAACGAGAAGCAACAATCAAGAAGCTAACAGATGACTACGACCAAGCCCGAGAGATGTTGGAAGAGTACATGTCAAAGATGGAGGAGACAGAGAGGAGAATGCAAGAGACTGGTAAAGATGTTGCATCGAGGGAATCTGTGATTGTTGATCTCGAAGAAACGGTAGAAAGTCTACGTAATGAAGTAGAGATGAAAGGAGAGGAGATAGAGAGCTTAATGGAGAAGATGAGTAACATCGAGGTCAAACTCAGGTTGTCTAACCAGAAACTGAGAGTAACCGAACAAGTGTTAACTGAGAAAGAAGGAGAGTTGAAGAGAATAGAAGCTAAGCATTTAGAGGAACAAGCTTTGCTTGAGGAGAAGATCGCAATGACACATGAAACATATCGAGGTATGATCAAAGAGATATCAGAAAGAGTGAATTCAACAATACTAGACCGGTTCCAATCCATGTCTGAAAAACTTGAGGAGAATCACAAAAGCTTTGAGGATACAGTGGTTGAAGCGACGAAGATGCTTTTGACGGCAAAGAAATGTGTGGTAGAGATGAAGGAGAATAAAGAGGAGATGAGGAAGGAGAAAGAAGAGGTGGAGAGGAAGCTTGAAGGTCAAGTAAGAGAAGAGGAAAGAGAGAAGGAGAAGTTGAAGGAGACATTGTTGGGAGTAGGAGAAGAGAAGAGAGAAGCGATAAGACAGTTATGTATATGGAGCGAACACCATAGAGATCGTTGTGAGTATGTTGAAGAGGTTTTGTCGAAAATGGTTGTGGCAAGAGGACAAAGACGGTCACAACGAGCTTAAAGTGACTTTGCTCTCTTCTCAAAATTGTAAGTTAGAGCTTAGCTGTGTTTATTTCTCATTTATGTCTTCTTCTGATTGATGTTTGTTTTTCTTTAATAATTTGTTTGTGCTATCTAAGTCGAAATTGTTTTGTTGGAGTGACGTGTGATGATTGTTTTGTAGTTGTAAGATCATAAAGATTGATTTGGATGGTTGGTGTCTTGGTGAGGTTTGTATAGACTCATTTGTCGTTATAATGTTTCTCTTGTTGAAAAGGAAAGAAGAAGAAAAAGCAACACTATACTACAGCCACCCGAGTAAATTACTTCTTTCTTCAATCATTCACGTTAGATCAATGAATCCTAAAACATTTTAAGTATTATTTTGTTCTTTGTTTCATAGCTAGATCAGGATTAAATAGAAAGATTGATGAAACATAATCATCTCTATGGTAATAGAGATTTTATCAGCAATCTACCAGATGAGATTCTTGGCAAAAATCCTGTCAAAATCCTGTCTTTGCTTCAGACAAAACTTGTTGTTAATGACGTCCATGACCATGAAGTGGAGGAATATGTTCTCTATTTCTAGACACGCTAGATAAGGTATTTAAGAATCGTTGTCGTCCCATGTCAAGAATCGTCGTCGCCCCATGTCAAGATAGATGCTCGTTTCATGTTTAAGCTGCAGATGCAATGACATTATGTTCCTTCATCAAAGTTTATCTGCAGACCAGATGTTTCACAAGTGTCTGACAAAACTTTCAGAAGAGACCAGTATTCTCTCTAATCTTCAACACAAAGTTAAATGACTTTGCAGCAAAGGTGTGTTTTGAACTTTTGGTTGTTCCATATTGAAGAGTTATGTTTTAAAGGTATCTTATAGGAAAGAAAAAAAGTCTCGATTGAGAAAGATGGAAAAAGAGTCGACGGGCAAACTGACTTATCTCCTTCCCCCTAAATGATCTCTCTACATTTCTCCTTGAATTTTACTTGGTTCAAGATTCCCCTGCTAAGTCACAATGAAATCTGTTTCTAGTTCAACACAGAGAGCTATCTCTTGACAAAATCTGACTACCTCTAGACGTTAATCATTTTCTCCATATACAGAGAGAAGCAAATAACTTAATTTTTTATATATACAGTATGCTCCTCAGTCTCAGTAAAAAATGAGAAAATCTAAGGCAAAATAACAAAACAGCACTAGCACTACTTAATGTGGTACTGCCTCGATACATAGAGGGAGAAACAGGTCCACAAGAACAGCATGGTTTATCACTTGCTTAGCTTCTTTGTCAAAGAGAGACTTCCACAAGTCCTGAATGTCAGGCTCCATGGCTTCTCTAGCAAACCCATTCGCCTCTGAAACAGCCTTGGCACATCTCAACGTGTCATCTACCTTCTTCAGTGCTCCTTCAATTCTAGACGTCAACTCCCGGCCATTAAAACAGCTTCCTTTCACTCTGAGAATCAAAACAAGGCGATCCAGATCTCTGATTCCAGAATCAAAATTCTCCCAAGTCGTCCTGATCAATTCCCATCGGACCGATTTGCCGTCATTCCGCTGATATCCTCCATGCTTGGGTTTGATATGTTTTGAGTAGACAAAATGAATAGAAAAAAGCAGCCTTTCCACCACGGGACTGTCAGGAATCATCATCATATCGTCTCCTTTTGCACCTATCCATAACTTGCAGCAGAAGCGTAACATGCTACGAATGTCATCACACAGCAAGAACATGGATCGAGCCACATATAGAGAGAGCTCAACTCCAAGTAGGGCAACCTCCTCTTTCAGCTCCTGCTTTGGAAAATCCTTGCTGCAAAAAAGTCAACACAAGCGAGTGAATTAGTTAGTGTGGGTGAGTAAGCAAACTCTGAAACGTAACAGAAAGAAATTGCAGACCCTAAAATGTAAGGAGAGCGTAGAGGCAGTGCGAGTACGCCGCTATGGAACGGGGTTTTAAGAAGAGGCGTAAACAGGTCGGTAAGAATCTCCATAAGTTTAGGTGCTGCTTGGTCAGCGCCGTCATCGAAGAGAGACTTCCACAAGGTAAAAATGTTAGACTCAAAGGCCTCCCTGGCAAAACCATTAGCCTCAGAAAGGGAGGAACTCAGTTTAGCATCTAGATTCTTGAGGATAAGCTTGTATTTGGCAAAAGCAGAGGATAATAGACGGTCATCGTAAAAGCAGGCGTCTTTTCTACAGAGAGGCAGAAAAAGGCGATGCAAAACAATGATTCCGTCAGCAAATTCGTCCCAAGCGGTGGCGACCAGATCCCAGTGGACGGAGTTGCCAGCATTCAAAAAGACAGCATTCTTGGGTTTGATACCATAGGAGTAGACATGATTCATAACAAGAAGCACCCTTTGTAAGACGCGGTCATGGTACATAACACATCGCCATAACGCGCAGCAGAACCACAACACAGTACGGATGTCATCTGAGAGCAAGAACATGGATCGAGCCACATAGAGGGAGAGCTCAACTCCAAGCCGTATAACCTCCTCTTTCATCTCCTCCTTCCCAGACCCGCTCCTACAAAACCACCATTTAGTTATATATATTCATCTTTTCTCTTTTGGGTAAAATGAACAGAGCAGAGCAGAGCAAAGGGACTAACCCTGAATCGAATGGATAACATCCTAAGTACGCCGGTGGCAATCGACCGTTACGGCGGAGAACACCGGAGATCGGGTTTGATTGCATCTCTTGCCAATTATCAAAAACAATTCAATATGTAATTAATTACTCAATATGTAGAATCATCAATATATTTAATATATATGCATTAAAAAAACAGAAAAACAAAAACGCACTTGATTCTTCTATCTATCAATCCAAGGAACTAGAGAAGATGATTGAATCGATAGAGAGATATATTCGCATCAATAAAAAAAAAAACGATTTGCTTCCGAATCCTTTCGTTCCGGAATATATATATATATATATATATATAAATTAACTGAAATAGGAAATTTGCTTTCTCCGGAGGTCGGTAAAATACAAAATACAATTACATCTAAAAAGGTTTTGGGCTTCTTTTAAGCCTTCCCATTTATCTCGGCCCATTTCAATATTGGTGACAAATTATATTTTCACGTAAAAGCCCATGCTTTGACTCTCATTTTGTTTTAAAGATTGGACTTGAGATTATACCAATGCTCAACGCAGTCAACACCCATGTAGGCTGTGTAGCATTGAACGTACGGAGATATCAACACTATCCTTTCCGCATTGCTTCCAAGCTACTACATATACGAGTGACGTATTTAATTCAAGTTGGAAACATTGAGGTGTACAGAGAAACACAGTTAAACTACGTACTAGTAAGCTACTCACATTACATAACACATAAAATTCTCAACTTAGACCTGTGAAGAAGAAGATAAATAAGTCAATTAATTTATAAAACAAAACAAGAAAAGCTATAGCGTATCAACAACAGGATGTTGACTGGTAGGTAAGTAAAATAGTAGAATATCAGATTCTAACGAAAGTTTCATATTTTATATATCTTTGAAGTAGTAAAAGCAATATTCTAGAAAAACACGTTACATTCCATGTATATAAATAAATTACTGAAAAGACGTGACTTGCTTGATCTTCCCATGCATGTTTCACATTTATATATATTTCTAATTAAGGGAAATTTGATTTGCATGGTTTTGATATAAAACACGCATTTCTACATACAAATATATATAATACACGTAATTATGATATTAATTAGTGATATGGCTAAAAAGATAGGCCTAATAATTATCTAAGATTGTTGATGAAGTTTTGTTTTCTTCTCCTTACTAGACACGTACGTTGCTTAAACTAAGGGAAGAGTGAGGACCACGTACGAGGCTGAATATATATTCGGTCCGGGGTCTGGAAAGGACGAATGGTTGTTATATTAATTGCGACATGGTAGACAGTAGTGGATCGTTCGCAACTGTGAAACGAAATCACACTGATCGCCTTCTAACATAATGAGTACATGCATATGTTGTGTAACGCTAACGCATATGGCCGTACGAAAGCGAGTTTACCATATAGCACATAAACAATTGGTAATATATATATGACGAGCCATACTCCGATCCAGATACGACAACCTAACCATGCACGTACCTACCCTGATATATTGTACAAGCTAGCTAGGTGAAGTGAAGTAATATATTAAACTGCATATTCTATATCATGTGGCTTCAGTAAAAAATCGACAAGTAGGTAATCTTGCAGCCATGTGTTTCGAATACGAATATCTTAATCTGGTAAAAGGAATTATTGCTTATTATTAAACGGGGGGATTTAACCCGTTCTAAAATATCTTAGGCGAGAACACCAAATTAATTATAATATGCATGTACATCACCACCCTAAAACACGTTAAAGGACAAATCATTTTGCATATGCCTAGCTCGAGTGTTGGAGACACTATTTTTTATTTCAACGTGGAGGACATTGGTAAAGATATGGTTTGAAACTTTGAGGTTTGAAACTTTGGAAGAATACCTTCAAAACAAAATGATATAAGATGTTTTGACTAATTTAACTCTAATGGAGGAAGACTTACGAAGAAATTAAATAGATTATTATATTTAGTTGTGTATATTTCTGTGTTGTTAATTGAAAACTAAACTGTCAAGATAAATTTCACGGATTTAACTTGTTCCGGTTTGGAATATAGTGTTATTAACACAAAAAGTGATTTACCCAAAATAACAAAAATAGACACAAATTGTCATCTAGATATAGTTGGTTTTGAACATAGCCACATCGATATTAAAAAAAAAAAAAAAAAAAAAAAAAAAAAAAAAAAAACCTAGATCTAGTTTTTATATTTCTAGGTTGTGTGTATATAGAAATAGAAAGAGAGAAAGAGGGTGTGTATTAATTGCTACATTTGATATATGAAGAGACCGTGAAGCTCATTACAATGAAGTTTCACACGTACGTTAACAAAATAGTTAAATAGGCTACGCGTTTTATTCTTCACCGAACACTTCGATCTCTAGACGTACATATGACCTCCACGTCCTATATATGGAGGTCTTCAGACAAAGAGCCTTATTAGAGTCGCAGAAGATGGCAACACAAACGGAGGGTGTTCGGAAAAAGATAAAGATGGATGATATGGTGATTAAAGGGCATATCAAACTAACTGAAGGTGTAAGACAACCTAAGACTTCAAGAGATGATCAATCTCCTAAGAGCTCTGCATCATCATCATCATCATCATCATCATCATATATGATGAAAATTAAGATGGGAAATTGTGAGTTATCAGGTTTTGATCATTGCTATTTTCTTTTACATGATGATAATTAAGGTCATAAATATAATTCGCTAGTAGCTTCATATATCTGTCCATGAACTTTTTGTAAGATATGGAAAAAGGAATTTTCTATATATATATATATATATATCAATTTTTTTTTTTTCATGAACGGTCTTTATGAATTAATGCATCACTATTGGTGTCTCATGTTGAGTTTATATATTTATTTCTACAGACAAAAACTCGATACAAAGATCAGAAAACACTAAAACGATGGAAAGTAATCAACTCAAGAAGAAGATGGTGATGAATCCGAAACAAAACACAGAAGAGAGTACAAATTTTGGTAGTATGAAGAAGAAGAATAAGGTATGGGACTGCGAAAGCACACTCTACGACTCATTCGAGCTAAACTCGTTCAATCGCCAACTCGATTCAGCCATCTCCTCCGCAGCTAGATCAATGTCCATGCCACACCTCTCTCATACTCCTCCACCAACGTCAGAAACGTCGACGTGGTTTTTGACCAAGAAACAACAATCACCGAACAAGATCTCACGGTCTCTAGGAAAACTCATCAAGTCAATGTTCGGACATAAACAGTCAAACACAACGTTCAAGGCAAGTCACGGCCGCGGCGTAGATATGGACAAATATTACGTAGTTTTCGACAAGACGGGGTCGCTCACGACAATTCCAGAGTCTGGAGAGTCAACAGAGATGGTTGGCTCAGAGACTAACTCGCTTGTTAGGAAAACAACGTCCGAGCGATTCCCGCGGACTCGGCTCGTTGGTATATCATGTTATTAATTATATTTTCATTTAATGTTATACCATACTATTAGTATATGGAGGTATTATTATGAATAGTAAGATATATAGCCTCTAAATAAAACACTATTATTGCTTTCATACAACTACTACTAAATGTATTATGGTACTAGTTTTTTTTTGTTTCTTACGTAGATGTAACTTTTTGGACACTTTTGTCGATTTAATTTATGAAATAACACTGTCAATTTGATTCTGTATACTCTTTAAAGATTTTACCTACGATAAGCATTTTTCTCACTTCATTTACTTTAAGAGTATCATTTCTAGTTAATTTTCACATAATATCATGTAGGGCAATGTCTAGCCCTGAATTTGGCAGGACTAATCCAGTGAATAAAACTCAGATTAGATTTACATCAAAAGGTTATATATTATATCTTAACTAGTCTCTACAGTATTAAGACTAGATACAAAACCAGAGGACTAGGTTAAGAGCTCTTTCTTCTCCTAAAGGCTAATGTCTAAGAGACGCAGCTGATGTGTGATTGCTTCTACAGCAATTAGAAGGATCACGAGGTTGCTCTGTGCTTCCTCTAGTTTCATGCAATTTCTCTTCCTTTTCTTGCGCCATTGAACATCAAAGATGAAATTACTACACAAGTTGCAACTAGAAGAGTTAGATGTATCAGAAACATCCTCCTCCTCCTCCACTGTTTCAGCTTCTTGTCCAGAATTGTGGCGTCTGTCAATGTCGTCACAAGCTTGTTTCTTTCCTTCTCTGCTCTCGCTCAAGTTCTTCTTCCGTTCCTTGGGTTTTCTTATTATTATTTGGCTGCGTTTTCTCTTGGGATACCCCTGCTCCCATGCTGAATGAAGACAATCAAACTGCTTTTTCCCGGAGACGGAAACTGCAGCTGCGGTTGTTTCTGTCTCATCTCTGCTCTTCGTCTTGTTTTTTATCCCGCTGCAACGGCTTTGTTCAGATTTTGACTGAGTTTCACCGTTGTTGGACACCAACACCAACTCTTCTTCTCTCTCCAATGCATACACATTAGTTAAGCTTGATGGTTTGCTTCCACACAACTTGTTGAAAAGATTAGAAGACCCTGCAACCACTCCAACTGATGTAGATTCCAACTGCTCCTTGTTCTTCACTCTTATCCTCCGGACATACTTCTTCTCAAACAATCTGTCTATCCGAAAACCATCAGAAGAATATATGTTTGGTTTAACTTCTTCAACAACCTTCACTGGTGCTGCTTCACCCTTTTGTTGCAACAACTCTTGGTTTCTCTGCAGCTCTTCAGATAACCCAAAGCAACTTCCTTCAGAATCCGTCTCGCCAGATTCGCTCTGCTTACCTGCAATTCCATCATCTCAAATGTCTTTACTGAAGACCAAACATATTGCAATGATAAAGCAAAATTAAACTCTATTGCTCCCTTACATGTATCTTGCTCAACTCTGACAGGCAAATACTCCTGTGCTGCTGCGTTCGCAAGAACCAGTAATTCTTCAAAAGACAATTGTTGAAGAGAACCAGACAAGTTGTTCCTAAGAAACTTTGTGCAACCTCTAAGACCAGCAGACTCGTTGGCTCTTTTCTTCCTCTTATAAATTTTGTACAATTCAAGACCTTTGTTCAATCTAGCTTCTTTAAGAGCCTTCTTTGCTCTGTGACTTTCCACAGTTGATTTAGCTCTTGGTTGCATCATCAGCTCTCGCTTTCCCTGAGACACATCTTGTTCACCTGCAAAATGAATCAGATCATAGATCAAGCCCTAAGAATACTGCAATTAAGTAAATCCCATAATCGAAATTTGCTATTTTTTACATTTGTCTTCCTCAGCCGCTTTGTTAGCCAGGATCATCAAATCGGAGGCGAAAGACACAAACTTCTTGCTCCTACATTCAATAATTAATCACTCCTTTTGGGAATTTCCATGGAATTAAGGAAAAACCCTAAAACCCTCGCAAGACAAATTTACCTCTCCGGTTTGGTCCGATTGATTTGTTCCGCCGAATTCATCGCTGGTTTCGGCAGCGAAGCTCGAGTGTCACTGCTCCTTTCTTTCACTTTCTTATCAATTCTCACTTTTACTCTTTCCTTCATCGGAAAAAAATTCCCAGTTGCCGAAACTAGCAAAAGTACAAAATTGCGAAGAAGAAAATGCCAAAAGCAAAAGGGTTTAGCGATTTAGGGTTTAAGCGAATAGGGTGCAAAGCATCTCAATGTATAACTATAAGAAAAGTACCAGCGCGAATTGAACGTGATCGGAGTTGTGGCGGTCGGAAGATAAGCCTGAGAGAGGTTTCACTGTTTCAGCACACCGTCCGTCGTCTTCTCTCGGAGACGATGTAAAAGTGAAAAACTCACCAAAGATTAAAATGTAAAAAATAAAATAAATTTAAAAAAATTGCGTATAAACGGGCCAATTATTAGATAACAGGCCCATTGTATCTGGGCCTTTATTTGAATTAGAAATTGAAAAATTGCTGAACCACCAGCGGCGATCTCTCTGTCTGAGTCAGTCAGTGTGCACAGAGAAAATGGCGAAATCAATGGCGACGCTAGATTCCGGCACAACATGTTCCTCCTGGAATTACTCCGGCCATCGATTAGCCGCCGGATCCCTCGATGGAAGCCTCTCCGTTTACGACTCTTCTACTCCATCTGCTTCGTCTTCTTCTACTTTCACTTGCTCTTCCAAAGTTAGGGTTAGTGAATCGAGTATTGTAAAAATCGTATGGTTACCTTCTGAATACGGCGATGCAGTAGCCTGCATTTGCGAAGATGGGAGCTTATCGATTTGGGAGGAGGTTTCTGAAGGTAACTCTCTGCTCTTTATGAATAATCTCCATGGATTCGTTGCTAAGTGTACAATGGATTGTTGTATGAAATTGTTACCAAGTTACTTCTTTTTTTTGTTAGAAACACATGCTCTTGAGTGGAAATTGTGTAAGAGTATGAAGAACAAGTCTAGCCTAGTGCTTGATGTTCAATTTGGAGTTTCCAGAAAGAGTTTAAAGATGGTGAGATATTTTCTGTTTTTTATTTTATTTTTGATTGGTTTAATAAGCTCTTCTGCTACCATTGTAACATTTATGAATGAATTCGTTGCTTATTTGTTTTTAGGTTGCAGCATATTCTGATGGGTACCTAAGGGTTTTTGAGCTGTTGAATCCATTGGAATTAAAGAATTGGCAACTTCAGGTAGCTTATCTTTCTATGTGACACTATTATACCTCTACTATTGTTGCTTCTGAAGTCCTTTTAGGTTTCCATCGATTTCTTGAAAATATGCTCTTGTCTTATTTCTCACCATTCTGTGCAGGCCGAGTTTCAGAATGTTATTGATTCTCTATCAACGCTCGGTAAACCTTCAAGCTTATCTGCATCTGTTTCTTGGAATCCGATGAAGGGTGAAGAGCAAGAACCCAGCTTTGTTCTAGCCTTCAACTCTGATTCTCCACATCTCAACTCTTCCAAGGTATATTTGAATTAAGACCTTTTTCACACTATTTGAGCTGCAAATCGAAGGTATAATTTGTGTGTTGCCTAAAATCATGACAGACTTGTTGTTGCAGATATGGGAGTTTGACGAAGCTCATAACCGATGGTTGGCAGTAGCAGAATTAGCTTTCCCCGAAGATAAAGGTGATCCAGTTTATGCTTTGTCTTGGGCCCCAAATATTGGCAGGTAATTCAAACAATCTTTGTCCTTATTCAAAGTACTCTGTCTTGAGAAGCTCAAACTAATCCTCTTTTTTATATCTTTGATACAGACCATACGAGGTTGTTGCTGTTGCAACTCATAAAGGGATAGGAATATGGCATGTTGGTCTAGCTCCTGATCTTGAAGGAAGGCTTCCAGTAAAGAAGGTCTCCTCGCTTTCTGGCCATCAAGGCGAGGTATTAAATTCCACTACTTTTTACCTTCCATCTAAACTAGAGGAGTTGCTAGGAACTAAACTATAGGGTCTAAGCTTCCGTTGATCTTTGATCCTACTTTTGATTTCCTTCTGATTGGCAATTTGGCATAAACATAACTAAAATACACCAGTTTTGGTTTTTCGTGGTCAGGTTTGGCAGATGGAATGGGACATGAGTGGCATGACTTTAGCTAGCACTGGAAGTGATGGAATGGTCAAATTGTGGCAGTCAAACTTAAACGGTGAGTGGCACGAGCAGGCAACCCTGGAAGCAGTTCCCTCCTAAGTCCCACCCACATCGCGGCTATGTCCAATGTCCAAAAACATGTTCGTTCCGTTTTCTGGACATTATTTAATGCGTTGCTCAGTTTTGTTTCTACTTCACTAGTTTATAAGCTGATGTGATTTTGGACGTGTGGAAACGACACACATTTTGAGTGGTCTATATATATCTCCATTCTCTTTCTTCTTGTCAGTCAAAAACACTCTATGATAGGTAATTGAACGGGCCGAGAGATTGATTCTTAAGGGGCCAAAAAACATGTTGAACTTGTGGACAAAGAAGTTCTCTATCTGATCAGTTGGCATTTATAACTGTTATCGCAGATTAAAACATAACTAAATTGTACAAAACATAACTAAATTGTACAAATTGTGTAGGATGGAATGGGATGGGACATGAGTCGAACTAGTTCCCTCTTTAAGTCCCTGCGTCGCCATGTCCAATGTCGAAAAAACATCTTCGTTCCAATTTTCTGGACATAAGTTGTTGGTGTCGTCGACACTCAACTTTGACTTGTTTATCTTGGACGCCTGTTGAAAAAACGACGCACATGTAGTTTCCACGGATCTAAAACGGCACGAAGTTATCTTCTCTATCTTCTTTTTCTCCTCCGCCTTCTCTCATCCGCAACCTTTTTCCTTCTCTCACCCGTGGAGAGTAAATAAAAGAGAGATGATTCTGATAAACTCTAACTGTCCGGCGATAATCTCAGCCGTTAGATTTGAGGGTTCGTCTCCGTTTAACACTAGGCGCATTCACCAGCCTTCTCTCTCAGTCTCTAGAAACAAAAGCTTCTTGTTACATTTCACAGAGACGAAGGAGAAGAAAGCAAGAAGAGAAGATGGGGGGAGAGTATCGATCGTGTGCGACGCAGGAGGGATGTTTCCGGTGGATCCATGGGCTCCGACCATTGATTCACAGAGCATAGCATCACAGCTCTTCGCCGTGTCTCTGTTTCCATACATTGGCTTTCTCTATTTCCTCACTAAATCCAAATCTGCTCCAAAACTCACACTTTTCGGTTTCTACTTCTTGCTTGCCTTCGTTGGAGCTACAAGTAAGTACTCTGTTTTTCAGCGTTTGCGGCCGAATCGTTAAACGCATGCTCTGACTGTTAATAGCGTTTTGACATTTCTTAGCAGTGATATCTTAATCTTTTCCTCTCTTCTTGTTTTCTTTTTTGGATGGCTGTGGTGATTGGATTGATTGAATTTGGAGTGCAGTTCCTGCTGGGATTTATGGTAAATTTGTTCAACATTACAAAAACATAATCTTGGATCATAATGGTTCTTCTTGTATATTAGATTCTGATGATATTTTCTGAATGAATGAAATGAAGCAAAGGTGCATTATGGAACATCGTTGTCGAATGTTGATTGGTTACATGGAGGAGCTGAGTCACTTCTGGCTCTTACCAATCTGTTCATCGTGTTGGGTCTTAGACAAGCTCTGAGGAAGTCTGATGATGATAAACTTGGTAGTGATGAAGAAGCACCAACCACTCGAGAACAAGAGAAATCTTCTTCAGTATAGTCAAAAGACTTGGTAGATTGATTTGTAATTATCGAATTTCACTTGTTTATATGAATTAGATTATAAATGATACAACTCAAACGCGCATCTAATTCCCATTTTGGACGCGTGAGTTGAACGCTAGTTAATTAGATGCGTTTAGTTCTTCTTTGATATTTTATTTACCTAATATGCTAAAGTAACTTTATGTGAAGGTATAAATCCGATTGCGAATAACATTGAGTAGTTACTATTGGAATCTTGTTCAAAACTTGATGGAGGCAAAAGTTGAGGAATCCAATACATTACGACGTTGATTGTGTAAAAGTTTTGTGCCAATATCTCTAGGGATGTGTAAAAAAAATAACCTTGAAACTTTGGAGAAATAGAGTGGTGAGGGCTATCAAAGAAGATGAGAACGTTGTCTGCAAAACTTAGATGGGGGATCCTAGTTGAGATGAAACGCGGGCGGGTAAGGAGATGTCGAGAACCGATGTTCATGGCCAAGACGAATAGGTGAGGAGAGATAGCATCGCTTCAACGGAGGCGTTCCAAAGACTATTTATGTTTTTGTTTGCATTGTTAACGTCTCATACCATATCTTAAAACAAACCATAGAGACTTTATATGTGGAACTTACATTTACATATTGCATCAATCTTGGGAATTAACCAATTCACTCCTACCACAACATAAAAAAAAATTAAAACTAATGATACAAAATAAACACAACATTTTCTAAAAGAATGTTTGTTTTAACACAATACTTATCTATACATAATACACTGATAGTAACATATACTTTTTATCAAAAGAAGAAAAAGAAAGAAAAAAAAAAGATGCATAGTCAAACACATAAAAGGTGACGTTCGTAAATATCATCCACTTGAAATGAATCTAATTCATAATTTGATGTAACAAAAGTTTGAGGAATCAAACAATGTGCATACGTACATTACAAATTTCATCTATAAATATTGTACCTAGGCAAATACATTTTAGATATGATAAAATAAAGAAGAGGATAATCAAAAGACACATAGCGGGTGAAACGATGTCGTTTAGGAAAGTGGAGAAGAAACCAACCGAAATGGGCCGACACATGACCCACGAGAAGTCGAACTCTGATTCGTACAAAGAAGGAGCTCCCATGATGGCTCCAGGTTACACTGAAATGGTTAGCCGCAGCGACGAGTCTGACTGGGACGATCTTGTTGACTCTGGCAAAACCCGTGCTAGCCTCACCGCCATGGAAACTGCTCCTATCAATCGTTTCAGCCGCAAGAATTTCTCTAATTACTAAGCATGCATGTAAGAGAGGTTCGAATTGTAGTTTATTGTATGGTTCCCTTTAATTTTATTTGTTTTGCGTTATGATTTTCAGATGGCTTGACAACGTAAAAGTGAAAAATGAAGACATGCTCATTAGGTGAAGGCTCATATGAATTAGTATGTATTATGTCTGAATGTAATGAATAAGAATATAAGAATTAATCCAAGGATGATGGATGCCTCATGAACGAACATATCGGTGATGACAATCTCATTGGTATTATGCGGTTTATATACAAAGTAACTATGGAATGATAATGTTACTTAATTATAGCTACTTCTATTATATTATGAACAAGTAAATTATATCAATATGCCAAATTCGTTTCGTCAAAAAGTTTAAAATCTAGAATGATTTTTTACAAGACTATGTAACATTCCGTAACAATTCTCCTTTGTTCTAGATCGCATTAAGATCAATATGAATCAAAGAATCTCAATCTTGGGCACCTATAATTGAGAACCAATTCTGATAAAGACATCCTATTAGGTAAAAAGAAAATGCCATTAGAATTGATTCAGTTTTAGCTAACTTTAAACTAAATAACAAGTTCAAGATAACGATCAACACTATAGCAAGTGGAGGCTCTTTGGTTTCAGCAACTCTTATGAAAATCCTGTAGTATATATAGACATCTAAAGCTCCTACCAAAATCCACACACACAATACAAAATACAAACCATAAAACTCACATCTTCTTTACCACAATGCAGTACTACGAAAACCGTGAGAAAGACTACTACGAGGTGGCTCAAGGCCAACGCAATGGTTATGGTCAGAGCCAGAGCCACGAGGGATATGGCCAGAAACAGAGTCGTCCAGTATATGGGCTTAGCCCGACTATGAACCACCGTAGCCACGGTGGGTTTCTTGATGGGCTCTTCAAGGGTCAAACTGGCCTAAGGGGTCAGAGTGGCGTAGGCACGTTTCTAGGTCAACGCAAGACCCAAGATGCTAACAAGGGTCATGGACATGGGAAGCTCCTAGGGCAGCACCAGAAGAAAACTCATGAGACAAACAAAGGTCTTAATGGCCTTGGAATGTTCATTAACAATGGAGAGAAGAAACATAGGAGGCAAAGTGAGCACAAGAAGAAGAGCAAGGATGGGCATGGCAGTGGAGATGAGAGTGGAAGCAGTAGCGGTAGCGACAGCGACTGAATCTGATATGGTTTTTCTAAAGAAAGTGATGCTTCTAAGTTCTAAGAGATATATAAAAAAGTACTCAGATGTAATACTCGAAATAAAGCCGCTTAGGTGTGGTTGTGTCTTTGTGTGTAACCTTATGTAACCTCGCTACTATGAATATATTTTATGCCTTTGCTGTGAAACCAATAAATCTATACCAAAAACCAGTTGAGAAACAACTAGAGTGGTACGTAAAAGATCAATGGCTATCAATTACCAACCTAATTCACTATCAATTTCAGAATAAGTGATCCAACCTGATCACAGTATGTTCAGTACTTCAGTTTGATGCCGAGTGGCTTGCATCACAGAGAAATAATATACTATTATTTACTTAGTTCATTTTGTTGTTGCTGTTGATAATGTTGGCATGCTATATACTATTAAAACTTATAATATTTCAACAACAACAAAAAAATGAAAATTTATATATATAGTCCATATAGAAAAGAAATGTGTTGTCATATTCGTTATCCTGGAAGATCTTTGAAAAGGTAAAGATTTAGTTTTATAATTTTTTTTTAAGATTTAGGTCTGGCCTGATCATTCTGATATGCGTAATATTGCGTACCACCAAACTACAATTAACCACTAAGATAACAGTACTATTAACACCAATATGATGCCAAGTCTTAACGGATTTGGCATTGGCACATATATGGTCCGACCGGTTCAGTCTTTGCAAAGTTGGTGTGATCAAAGATTCAAAGTTAATACTGATTTTGTTTTGCAAAGCATAAACATTTGGGTAAAGTTCAACGGTACATGGTATGATCCGAAGATTAGTTTGATGCATTCTTATAGAAATGGTTTAATGTAAAAGATGGGATATGAATGAGAAAACAAAATAAGTCTTTGATAATCACATGGAAGGAGAGAATAAAAAGGGACCATCTTAAAAGCATTTGAGGAGCATATGATATGGTCGAAGACTGTGACATGTGCTTCTCTAGCTTCTTACCTTCCCCACCAATCTTATTTAATACATAGATTGCTTCTTACAAAACATCACTCATTTTTTTAAAATTTTCACTTCACACCTTTGTTTAAATTACAATCTCTCTAGAAGCATTTGTTTACTCAAATCATAATAATTTTATTATAATAAAACTGTAAACATTATAAAGTGTTTCTAAGTACAATCAGAATAGAAAGTCCTTGGATGATGAAAATAGAAAAGAAAAAAAGGAGCTTTCACAACCTCTTTCAAAAACCACGAGGCTTCAGATTTTAATTTTCTTTTAAAAACCCTAATTATATATCTTATTTAAAAACTTTCCCACGATTTTAACATCTTTAAACCCTAAATCCCACAGCCTAAAACCCTAACTTTGTCATCATTTTCTTTCCATAGTTGCAGTTTTTGATCAAAAAATTCACAGTTTAGTTTTTAATTGGCGAGAACTTGCCAAATAAGCTCTGGATCGAACGATGGCATCCTCGCTAGCAAAAACCCATCTGTGTCCACTCCCATCATTGCGTCTTCCTCCTCCGTCATTGCCGCCGTTGCCGGAATTTCATCGGAGACTGAAACCGATGCCGGAGAACTATTCTCACTGTTACACAACGCCATCTGCGAAACCCAAAAACTTTCCTCTGAGTTGACCGCAGTCGTAGTCATCGTCGCCGGAGACGACGATATAATCTCCGGTGACGAAGAATATGAAGAATCCGACGAGTTCTTGCTCACTTTGCCGCTCTTTTTTGCTCTCTCTTTCCTGACTCTCTGGCAAATGGATTGGATCTTCCCGTCGACGGCGTTCTTGAGAGCTAGTAGCTTGGAGGAGTCACCGAGTCCGAGCAGCTCACTCGGGTCTTTGAGATTCGGGAAATTGAGACGAGCGTACTCTCCACGGAGCTTATAGGCGGCGCGATCGTAAGCGTAAGCGGCGGCTTCGGCCGTGTCGTAAGTTCCTAACCAAACCCTCATTCTGTTTTGCGGCAGTCTTATCTCCGCGACCCATTTCCCCCAATGTCTCTGCCTCACTCCTCTGTAAAGTTTCTTCTTTTTCGTCGTCCTCCCAGCAGCTAACGCAGCTGCGAAAGCCCCGGCTGGAGTCTCGGCCGCAGCTTGGAGCATTAGCTCCGAAGTTTGACGATGATCGAACGATGAGGAAAACAGAGGAGGAGTGGATGAGATTGCTCTGTTTTGAAGGTGGAACTTCTCGATGATATCTCGTTGCCGGAGATAGACGGAGGAGCCGAGCTGCGGCGGTGGCGGAGGATTGAGAGTGTTGAAAGATGTTGTGGCGGATTCTACAGAGGAAGGCGTGAGAAGTGAGAAGATTGAGTCGAGTGTGTTTGGTCCTCCTGCTAATATGATCTGAGACAGAGATGCTCTGATCTCCGAGATTCTTGGACTGAAATTGGTCTGATAAAGATCATTGCTTTCTTCCATTTTCACAACTCGGCGTTTCTTGGATGATAAGAAACCCTAAGAATTGTGTTTGATTAGAGCAAAAGAAGCTTGAAACAGAGGACGGTGGATTGAAGAAGAGTATGATTGAGATAACGAGAGATTGGTTTTTGAAAGAAAAGTAGAATTTGTTTTTTTTTTTTGGTTATAAGATTTGTATTAAATGGGGTTTTAAAAAGTAAAGAAAGAGGTTGTACATATTTATAGACTTGGCTGTAGAGAGAAGAAGCAAAACAAACCAGAAAGGTTGCTTTACAGATTTCACATGGAGTTCTTTGACTTTTTTTTTTTTTTCTGGTTGATTTCTTTATTATTTTATTTTGCCAAACTATTTTCATCATGATTTTAATAAAATATTTCTACTTTGAGATAAATAATAGTATATACAATATTTCCAACCACTTTTTTTTAGTTTAATTAATCATAGCAACACAATTATAAGCACTACATAGACATGATTGTATATTTGTATCTATATGAGAGTGTGATCAATATATATATATATATATATACACACACTTTTCTCTCTGTGTTTTGCATAAATTCTTCTATAAAATCATGAAAATTAATTAGTCTATGATTTTTATTCGCTTTATGTTTTCTTATTAGTCAACAGTCTATGATGAATATCTATATCTAATTATCTCCAGGTATAAACGATTTAACGTACACTAACATTTGAGAATTTACATTTCAAAAAACTAGCATATACCCTTTCAAGCTATATAATTTTCAATTATTTTGGTATCAGTAGATGTGTAATATTTTTGAACACAGGTTTAATGATGGAAAAGTTAGACACATGTTAGAAGACTATTTCTTAAAAGTTGAGTGTAGATATGTTGGATTAATTAATTAGGACTGTGGGAGAAAAGCTATAAAACTGTTTTTCTTACAATTTCATATTAGTTCAAAAGCTAAAACATAATAAGTAATATTCCTTAAGTATTGATGTGTCTAGTACGTAGTAACATTAAACAGATAAAAGTTTTAAATAATGACTAAAGGTGGGTAGCTTTGATTAATGATTATGGCCTTTAGCAAAAACTCATCTCAGTTTTGTATATCATACTGATGGTGGACGTTTTACATTCACACATCTTTTATGGGATACATTCACACTTGTTAATAAAAACATTCATACTATTTTTACGTACGTGAGAGTGGAAGTTGTAATACATCAAATTTTGGGTACAAATGACAAAGAAAGTTTGAGGCCGGTTTCGACTTCGCTAATCACCTATCGTCCAAACTCCGAACACATCTTCTTGATCTAAAATGATGAGATATCTGATAAAATCGTTGGAAAATAGATTTGTCGACACCATACCATATATATTGACCATTTCCTATATATTACATAGAGATATTGACATTAAATGAACACGCATTTGATGCAGATCAAACAGCAGAAAAATTAACCATGCTTCTGTCTTCTCGCATTACACCTTCTCTTCACATATTAATTGCAAAGTCTTATTTTATTTTATTTTTCAACCGAGTCAATATTCCATAATCCTTTCAATACATTGTTTGTTTTGGTGATTTTAACATAAAAGACGAGTCCGTGTAGTCCCCACGAAAAAACTTTTAAAATTTATTGAGGCAAGAGAGTTGGAAGAGTCAAGACTTGTGTTTGATAAAAAGGTCAGTATCGAATCATAAATTCTCTGCCACGCCTTCATCTTCTCGCCCCGTTTAATTTCATCTCTCGTTCTCTTCCATCTTCTCATCTCTCCTCCACGAACCACAATAATAGATGCATAAAGTTGATATAAAACATCCTACTCCAAATGTAATTGACCAACGAATATGAGTCGATGATGTACGATGCTAACGTTTATTTTTCAAAGAATATGTATTTTCACACACACACAAAATTCTCTTCTTTCTTAAACTACAATTGATAAACTTCAGTTCATATACTAACATTTATTAAGGTTTGAAAGTGATAATAGCTAGTCTAATGTGGTCATTGTTTGTTAGCAAAATTCAATCTATATATTTTCGTTTTGACTATTGCATAATATTTATGGAAAATTAAGTTTGGGATTCGGATCTTCCTATCTTCTCTCACTTTTTTTTTTTGAAAACTCTTCCTATCTTCTCTCCAAGAAGTTACTATAGTTCATTTATATAACACAGGCTTTCAAAACAAATTTAGTAGTAACATTGAAGCTTTTACTTGTGGGTAAAGAACCCTATATGTTGAGCCTATACATAAATGACACTTTTTGCCAAAACAAATACATAGCTTTTCAACAGGGGGGTAAACTCAATTTGCATCAAATGTCCACAACAAGTCTTCTAGACTCAAGCTAGATTTTAAAATATCTATCGTTCACTTAAAAGATGTAATTTGGAGGTCACGAGTTTATGTATGAGTCGCAACCATACGTTTATAAGTGGGTCTTTTTTTAGTACGTGCAGTGTTGGCCAAAATCGGTACGTTTTAAATATTAAATCTCAATTCCGAATATGAAGTCTACATATATGATATAGGTGTGTGATCAATGACACGTACAATCAATATATTACTTTTTAGAACATATCTCGGGGCCGGTCCATTCCTAATAAATCCAAAAAGTTATCATAACGCCAATCACATGTTAGCTTTCGGTGATTTTTTTTTTTTTTTTAGTTTTTGTAATTTGGTTTCTAAAGGATTAAAAAGAAACAGAGTGGGATATGTATATAATTGTATATGTATTTGGTCTCCCTGTTAAATATAGTCACACTATGATATTTTACCAAAAAAAAAAAAAAAAACAAGTCACATTAGTTTTAAATAATTATATATAAAACGATGATTAACCAAATGTTGACAAACTATATTTGTCAAATTATTAACTCAGAAATTGTAAAACCAGTTTGATATGTCCTAATCTAGTTAATCAGTGGTTGTGTTAAAACACATCTAGCGATGATCGTCAAATCTAGGTCAGTTATGTACGCTTTTGCTAACGAGAAATAATTAAAACAAACTGAATCTTTATTAAAAAAAAAAAAAAAAAAAAAAAACTCAGTTAACAGAAGTTAAAATCTTAGCATCACCAAATTGAATTTTGGCTTTAAGGATGCGATGTTTCAGTTTAACCAATCCAAGTTAGGGATTCAGCAGTTACAAAAGATTTACGGTAACTTTCAAATTTTTGAAAAGGATTAAAAAAGAGAGTTCTAAGCGAATTAATTATTGTAAGAAAAACTGGTAGAAACCCATGTGGAGTACTTGAGGCCATTTAAAGACAGGGATATAGTTGGTCTCTAGATCTCCATTTCTTTGTTGATATTGAAATAATTTAATGAAAATATCATAATAGTATGATTATATAGAATAATACATGAAATAACTTTACAGAATTAATATAAAAAGTGTGGTTGGCAGAGAGAATAAGTAGTGATCGAGCAAATTGTGATTGTTTTGTTTCTTTCTTTAAATATAAAGGAAAGGTTTAGAAGCAAATAAATAATACTTGCATAGAGATAACATCATTTGTTTCTTGCACGTAAACGTCAACGGTATTAGTTGCTTTCGTATGATATGAAACACAATAGAAGCGGCCGAAGAGCTGACCACAAAACTTGTGGTACACAAGCATAAAGACGCAGATGTGCCCATCTTGTAAATTCAACATCGCTGAGAAATCTTATCTGGATCAAGTGGCTAACACAGTGTGAAAGTAACTGCGTCGTCGTCGTCGACGTTATGTTTTAGTCTAAGAAGAACGATGGCAAATTAGCAGTAAATAATAGGAAAAGCAGGGGTAGAGCAGACATTTCGGACACCGAAAAAGTAGTGTTTTGTCGTTATTAGCGTATGTCTTCGAAAGGCGACGCCGACAGAACAGTGGTCCACTGCTCCTGAAGTCGACACGTCACCGAACTTTGTCTCCTTCCTGCGGTCCCCAAACAAAAAAACGGATCTCGCTTTCTTCAGATCAATTACTCGCGATATCATTCATTCTCGCCACGATATGTTTTTTAATTTATTTACGGCAACGGCGTTGTTTGCGTAATGTCGACGGGAAATGACGTCACCCTGATGCCATGCATTTTTCTACTTCTGATATATATTCTTGTTGGTATGGCTTTATTAAATTATAGACCTAATTCTTGCTTCTTCTTTTTTTTTTTTTTCGGTTCACGTGGTTCGTTCGGTAACGTTGAGTCGTTGAGAATCATGTAAATATCTACAAAATATATACTTTCAGTTTTATATTATTTAACATATATAGTCAACAACTTTTTCCTAACTAACATCGATCGACTAAAAAAGTTTTTAAAATCAACAAAAGATAATAGAACATGTAAATTAGTGGCTTCTTGTTAAGGAGCGTTGGTCGATAGTTGAACCAATACATAACGAACTCCTATTTTATTATTAGAAACGTAGTTAATTAAGATTTCGTGGAACTAAAAAGAATCACGATTCTGAATCATATACGTACCTATATATGTATATGACTACACGGTGTATTAAAAAGAGAGAGTTAAAAGGTTCGTATGAATCGTACGGATAAATCCCTAGCTAGAAGGCTAAAAAGGTGTATTATGTATGTAGGTATAATCATATATATATATATATATTTTTGAATAAATCATATATATATTTTTGAAAGGTGACTACAACAAAAGTGGTTATTTGCCCGTACTTGCCCTAATTCGATTGGATAACTACTACACATAGACATGATTCTATAGACATATAATAGCATAAACATCGTTTTCCTTAAATAAGAACTCACATTAAAATTATAAAAGCAACTACGTAGTTCTACCATGTAAATAAACCTACGTGAAACGCCGTGGACCTCATACAATTTTACCAATTGAAGGTTCATGGCGTACACAATTTGCAACTTATATATCGGGATCATTGAGTACTAAATTCAAAATACTTCTCCGAAATATATTAACTCAGTGCAATTAATTTACCGACCAATAGCCATATATATGTATGTTATAATTGAGAAACATATATATTCCCACTACACAAACGCATACATAGTTACATACATTATACATATAATAAAAAATAGCTTATTTTACGACACGTATGTGTATTAGTAAAACGCGCACACACAAACACACACATATATGCTAGCTATATATTGGTATGGGTTACACATTAAGATGTGACATTATTCAACGGATCGTAGACATTGCAACGAATGTCGTTGCTTTGACGGCTAGTGTGGACCATCACACTATTAGACTTTTAATTAGTTTAATTCATTAATATGTTTTCAATATATATATATATATATATATTTATGGAATATGACACTTTCTTAGTACATATAAGAGATGAGTTCAACTATTCCATAACTTTCAATAATATATTATGGTTTGAAGTAAAAAGTATTCAAATAATATTTTCATATATGTTTTAATGTATATCCTGTCGATCTTAATGCATTTGCCATAAGATAGCTACATATACGAAACTGTTAGAAACTAATTAAACACGAAATGCTATGGAATCACACATTTCTTCCTAATTATTGATACGGGCCGGGTTGCGTAAACAATGAATACATCTATCACCTATGTTGCAATTGCTAATTTGCTATTATATTATATATCTGTATAATGTGCTCATATATAGAAAGATGTCCCCTCTTATCCCTAAGGTAGACCCTTGGAAATTTTCTAAAGCATATATGGCCACACCTCTTGTGGACCTACCAGTCTTCTTCTTAGTTTCTTTGTTTTTTTTTTTTCAATTTTCATTGATAAATTCACAGCTAGGAAAATGCTAATTAAAGACAACATATATATTTCATATGCACCCTATGACATAGTATGACCAGATCACATCTTCGTATTCTACAAATAGTCAACTGTTTATAAGTGTTATCATCGTGTACCCTATTAATTTTTTTTTTTTCATAGTACCCAATTAATCAGGCATTGATTTTTCTATTTCTAGTGAGTAATGAAAAGTTTTAAAATATGATAAAAAAATATCTTTTTAGATGGAAATTTCAATATACATCATTTTATGATATAATTTCCATTTCATTGTTATTCTACATAATTGCAGCAGTCTTTAGAAATGTCGACGAGATTGTTTTTAAAACAAAAACTACAACGTAATTAACGTCGTCGCATAATCGTTTAGCGAATCTAAAACAAGAATGATAAACAAAGAATATGATTATATCACTTCGTATAGCTGACTTAGTCTTCGTTCTCCACAGATTTATAATTGATCAATAATCAAAAACTTCAATAATTTAAGATAGAATTGAGCTGGACGTGGACCTGGTCGGTTTGACCTTCTTCATTTTTATATTTTTATATTTTAAATATGTATATATTTGCTTTCAAATAATTGAAACTTTTAAGCGTGATCACTATGCATTGTAAAGCTTCTTTTTATTTAATTTGATAGTCTCTCACAAGACTAGTATTTTTCTCTTTTAGGTTTGTTAATTAAATTAAAACATACTCCTACTACGTGCACAACTTATCCGATTATTCAGATTAAAACTACCCTATAATTAAGGTAAGTTGACTCTGTCCGTTGACGAGACAGGTGGCAAGTTCAGTACCGACGCCAAGTGGAGTTTTGACTTTGTTCCGATATTTAATTTTCTTAAGGTTTTGTTTTTCTTCCCATGCAGGTATTAGTTGTTTAGCTGGTACGTTCCTGTTGGTATTTGTTTCTCAGTTATTTATTATATTCGAATACTCATATCTTTTAGTTTTATAACAAAAGTTATATATTCGTATGAGAACTGATCAGTTGTAAACTTAAATTTGAGGCATTGGGAAAAGAAACTGGTGTGTCGTTGATAGATTACACTGTTAAAAATATTGAAGGGTTAAGGGCAATAGATATGATATACATAAATTACTTACACGGTTCTTTTAACTTCTCTATGTTAGTTCATATTACGAAAGCAGAACAAAATTTATATCAATTCAGAGTCTTGAATTTGATGTGTGGAACCTAAACCCTAAACCCTAAACCCTAATTTATATTAGTAGGATCCGATCTGCATTTTCTTACCGTCGAGATCTCTTTTTCCTTTTGTTGTTGGACCTTTGTATATCTTTAGCCCAGCCCATTAGGGTATTTTTCGAATTTTAATAAATAAAAAAAAAAAAAAAAATTGATGTGTGGCAGTCTTTCAATTTAGTTAGAAAGGCATTTCCCACTAAGTTTATTTTCCCATGCATGTATCATTATTAAGTTGTCGATCATGTTGGCATCCATTTGCGTTTCAATACACTTCGGCTGAAAAAAAATTATTTAAATAATTATATAAACAAGCCGTTTACTCATTTTCTTATATATATATATATATATATTACTGGAAATGATATCTTATCATAAATATTTTCTACAATCTTAGAATGGTTCCTTCTTTGAGCATTTTTTTGAGCATTTTCAAAAAGTGATCATTCATCAAATCCAAATACCATCAAACTTTTTTAAAATGATGATTTTCAATATTTGGTGTAAGCCACAACATATGGTTATGGTCTTTTTTGGAAATAAAAAATTTATTTTTTGAAATGTTGGTAGTTTCATGTATATATATGTGTGATTTAATGCAAACATTTATCTACTTATATTTGTGTGATTTCATGTATTTAAACAAATATTTTAATGAAATCGCATAATATTACAATGTTTGGTAGTTTTGTAAAGTATTAATTTTTTAATTATAAATATTAGTTTATCTTTAAAAGATATATATGTATTTTTCAACTAAGACAAATACAAAATTCAAGTGACTGGATTGATCAGAGTTTAAATTTGAATGCATTGTGCCTCTTGTCATCAATGATATCAAATTTATTTTTGTTGCATTGCCTATTGCCATCTTTCATAAAAAAAAATTAATATACTAATTGTTCCCTTGTTCTCAAGCCTAGACATGTTGAAGAATTTGTGCTCACATTAAGGTAACTTCTTCTATTTAATTCTCTTTTTAATATAATTTTTTATTTAATAATGATAATAATAATAATAGTAATAATATATTTGCATTTTAATATTATCATCTGAAAATATTCAAAATTTATACAATTTTCCAAAAAAAATCAAGTGATTAGATTGGTGAGATCGTTTAAATAAGAATGCATTGTGCCTCTTGTCATCCATGTTATAAACTTGTTTGTGTTGCATTGTCTATTGCAACTGTTCATGAAAATTATCATACTAATTGTGTTCTTAATGTTTTTAGCTAGTAAAAAAAAAAGAGATAAGTATGTGCATGTCCGAGAAGAGTGAATCCATGTTGTCAAATCTGGATTTGTTGAAGGATATGTGCTTCCATATCAAAAGCCTGATAATAATGTAGTATAAAATACATATAATAGATGCTTAGAATCTCTATAAGGAAACCAAAATTGAAGCACATATTCATGAACGAATCTAGATTTGTAAGTAATCATTTTTCTTGGGTTCTAATGTGTAACTATGTAAAAGTAATCATTTTCATTAGTTTTTGAGAAAGAAAAAATAATTAATTGGGCTTTGCTAAGTTAACCTTTCAATTTGTAAACCCAAACGGCCCATACGATATTTTTTTTATCCTGATTTGTTTTTTTTCCCTTTGAAGCATGAACTAATAGACGGTGTCGTTTTAAAGGAAGCTGACTAACTGAGAGCAAAAGTCAAAAGGAGAGAGAGAGTCTTTCTGGTGGTGGTCTCTGCTATGGTGAGACTCACTTTGTCTTCCTCACAAGTACATTAGTAGTCTCCAATCATATCTTCTTCTATAGCTTCAAATCCCAGCACAATCAACGGACTCGAATTACATAACAGTTTAGCTAAGATCAGTAGCATCGGAGTCAATTTATTGTTGCGAGGTCAGTTTTGATCTTCGTTACTCATAATTTTTGTTCTTCGCTGATATATAAGCTTGATTTCCGAAATTGATGAGTTTCAGATGTAGTTTTGAAGGAGAGTGTCAAACATGGAGGTGAATCACGTTTTGCTTCTCTGTATAGCTTTGATTTTCGTCGTTGATACTAAGGTAAGCACTAAAGCCCTGACTATTCTGAATTTGTTCCTTTTTTGTTTGTTGTTGTGGGAAATCTGAGGTTTATCTTATTGTTGAAAATTAGGTTGATGGAGAGGCACAAGTAGTTGTCTCGAGCTCGATCTCGGTTTCGAATTTGACGGATACTAGATTTGTAGCTGGGTCTGAAATTGCTGTTAACAATGTCACTGATTCCAAGAGTATTATAGATCATTCCAAAAACTCGACCAATGGTGATTCACAGCTGGGAGATGGATCTAAGATGATGGGTGATGGAGGAGATAGTACTAGTGGTAAGAGTGAAGAAGGGAAGATAGCAAGTGAAACCACTAAGGAGGAGGAGCCTGGGAGCAACTCTTCTAGGAAGAAACAAGGGTTTCATGGTGAAGAATGTGATCCATCTAATATGTGTACAGATCAGGAAGATGAGTTTGTTGCTTGTCTGCGAGTTCCGGGCAACGGTGGTGACTCTTTGTTCAATCTCTTTACTTAATTGTGTCTTGTACAGAGATCTTTTTTGGTTCTTGGGATTGACCTTTGTTATCCTTCATCGTTATTGTGCAGATGCGCCTCATCTCTCACTCTTAATCCAAAACAAAGGAAAAAGGGCTTTGCTTGTCACTATAACTGCTCCGGGTTTTGTCCGGTTAGAGAAGAACAAAGTTCAGCTCCTGCAAAACGAAGACACAAAGGTAATCCCTATATGTTTGATATCTCTTCCTGTGTTCTCATTTTTGTTGGATTCTATTGCGTGATATGCATTCAATGGGGCTTTAATTCTGAAGCAGAGTCAAGATCATACTTATTTTATCTTAATCCTCAAGGACTTATATATCTAGATCTTGAAGGTTGACCAGAAGATGTTGTTCAGTGTTCGTTAACTTGTCTATTATACTTAATGAGGTGCATTTTCTGAGTAGAAAGCTCCATTGGTTTTATGATTGCAACAGAAAACCTAGTCAATAGCAGCATAGTTTTGACATGGAGACTTTATACCCTAGCTCAAGACTACATTTTTATAGAATGATTTTGCTAATCTTTGCAACGATGGAGTATAGACCTATAAGTTTTAGATTGAGATGTAGCCACGCCGTGTATAAAGCTTAATTCTTCTTTTGCAGGTAAAAGTTTCTATTAAGAAGGGAGGGTCCAACGACAGCGCCATCGTACTAACTTCTAGCAAAGGCCGTTGCAGCCTTGAATTAAAGGATTTGGCAGCAGCACAGGAGACAGAAAGCGACGATACAGTTTCTGTTTCTCGTCCTTCAATCCTCAATATCCATCCAAGGACACTCATCGTCATCCTCATGATTTCCTTCCTCGTTCTCTCCCTTGTCATCATCCCAGTGATCTATCATGTTTACAAAAACAAGTCACGGGGAAACAACAAATACCAGAGGCTCGATATGGAATTGCCAGTCTCGAACCCTGCGTTGGTGGCAAAATCTGATAAGGAAAGTGGTGATGAAGGATGGAACAATAATTGGGGAGATGATTGGGACGATGAAAATGGCGATGGAGACGAAGAACAGCCGAATACTCCAGTGCTGCCGCTCACACCGAGTGTCTCATCTAGAGGGCTTGCTCCTAGAAGACTCAGTAAAGAAGGTTGGAAAGATTAGTTTCAGTCTGCTTTCTCTTTGTTTCCAGTTCCACATAGTTCATATATTCGTAGAAGTTTATCGATTGGCGGAATTAAAAATTGTAGTATAACAAATGGAAGTTTCTGAACTGTTTCTTTTACACCTTGCCGGTTGGGGTCATCCTTCTCTTGTGAATACGAGCTTCTCGTCTCTGGGCTTTTATGGCCTGTTAAGCTTGCATTTTGGCCCGCCAAGATGATATCCATGTTCGGATATTGAGATATAGTATCGGACCTGATCCTGGCGTTGAACTTGAACATTCGAAGATTTTGGTGATTTTATGCGAAATTGAAATAATATCCAAAATTGATAGAAATATCCAAAACTTTTAATTTTGTCTAGAATCCTCAACATTCATAATTTTATCAAAAGAAAACACTCAACACACAATTTGAAATGAAAATACGAAAATAAATATTGAAGTCCTAAATATATGAAAGAGTAAAACCGAATGTAATTGATGAAGTTAAAAATTTTAAAGATCTAAACAAGTAGATAAAGCTAACGGCATCTTACAAAACATATTTTGTTATTTCCACATTTCACAAATCTCAAATTCAGTTAAAGATTTAAGGATTGATGGTTTATATATGTTCGGATTAGCGAAAGTTTATATTTAAAAGGGAGGGTCCAGCGATAGCGCCATCGTACTAACTTCGAGCAAAGGCCGTTACACATGTGCATTAGGGCCCGTCATTAAAGATGATGATCTCAGCCTTTCAAATTGTCAGTTTTATCACTAACTGTTTGTTTGTCCATATTATTATATGATGGGTTTGTGTTATATACTCTACTAGTAGACAAGCCTTTTTATGAATATATGAAAAATACGAAAATCTAATCTAATCTTATCTTATCAACCTAATATACCTAAATATATATTTTTGTAGAAGACTATACATTATATGAAAAATCGATTACACAAAGTACTAGAGTTAACTAAAGTTGAAACGATCCGAAACCGACAGACATATTGCAAACATTAATTATATACGTTTCACATTGATTAGAAAACGTAATGAAAACAAATGAATTAGTCAGAAGTTATAAAATATAGAAGCTAGCTAGTTTTATACACTTGTAACTCGAGCCGAAGGTCAAAAACAAACCTTCGTGGTGGGAATGTTAACGTCACAAGAGAGGCGCCGCCGGAGACCACAACGTGGCAACGGACGCCGTCGTCGCAAGATTCACGTGGCGGGGGACCACAAATTCGGCTGTCAGGTGGGCACGTGCGTTCATGTGCACAAGAGACATCTTCCTCTTACGAACTCGACACGAGTCCTTGTTGTCTCGCTGAACATGGAACGTTCGATGCTAAACCCCTCAGCGGTCGTGGGACCTTCAATTATTCTCGAACGGTCCAGATCCGAACACCGAACACACCCCCAAGTTCTGTTTTCTCGTGATCTCGCGATAGTGTCGGTCAGTAGTAAATTACATTCCAAACACATTACAAGTCCACACTTATATTTACATTTACATTTACATTAACCTCATTTTCTAGTGTTTAAGCCGACCGACACACTTTGATTACTCTACGCGTCCACGTGCATTCTCTCATTTTTAAACCCGTCCATGTTTCATTTCTTCTTGTCTCTCGTAACATTGTTATTGTATTGGTGATTCTCTCGTGGCTTTAATTTTTTGAACAACTTAATTACTAACCAGTGATATATATTTTACTCGCCGAACTTGCGACAGTGTCGGTTTATGTAATATATTTTGTTGGTATATATATCGAGAAACAAAAAAATGTCATGTGAAATAGTGAGATCAATATTATATCTTTTTTTGTAAACTGAGCATTAGCCAGCGAGTAAACTGAACATGAAATTTTTAGATACATGCTGCCAAATTAATCAGAACCAGCTTGTAATGTAATCATATATATGGATTATTATTATTATTGACAAGATTATCGGTGATCCATGCATGTTATGACTTATGATCACCTATTATGATTGTTATGTGATTTACAGTAGTACATTGTGAAAATGATTAGCATGCAAAAAAGAATAAATTATCATTCCGCATGTTTTTCATCTTTCTAGGTCAACGTAAAATCAAAATTAGTTAACTAGTAATGTAAATAATTTATTTTAGATTCTTCAAAAGTTAAAGTCAGCCAAATACTCCCTTGCATGTTATAAAAAACAAAAAAGTCAAAAATTACTACATCATCAGTATAATGTATATAATTAAGTTTGCATTTTGTCAATAAGTGATAAAAGAGTATATATTATTGTAAATACTTGTGGTACTGACCAAAACATTTCAGTTTTTCATAATCTTTGTAGTGTGCCCACCTTTAGATCCTGATTTGATATGTATTTATGCCAAAGCATTTGTGGATGTCTTTATCACAAATACCAAAATGAATTATTTTTCTTTTTATAAATTTTAGAATATATTGGTAAATCACCAATCATATCTTCTATAATCCGTTCCATTACCATTCGACCGTCGAAATGATGTGACAAATCGATAGTCTTTATATATAATATAAGTAAGTTATGTCCTATATTCACAATTTTTCATAACTAATAAAATTTGTAACAATAAAACAAATATTATATGTATATATATAATTGTTGATACGTAGGTGTAGGTTTGAAAAATATTGTTTGTATTTTTTTGTTTATTCTCGGTTAGTCAGTTCAAGTGAAGTAATGGTTGGAGGTCCATGGAAATACTATAGCTAGATATGAGCTTTTAAGTACTATGTAAACTATAATTCTCGGTAAAAACTTTAAAACCGAGTCGAGGACTTCCATGATATATAGTATAGGTGTGAAAGAGATTGTGAGTTCCCACTCTTTCGTGACCTCAAACTCAATTGACCAGAAGAATAGAATGGGAAATGGGAGAAAATAATATAGCACACGGCTAAGTCCACAGACTTTGCGTTATACTAACAACCTAAGTGCCATACAAACAATCAATTATAAAAGGCCGTAAGAAAAAGGAAAAGGTGAGGAACGAGAAAGATAGTGATGTTTAATTTCCGTGATTGGCTCATTTGTTCACGTAGTACTGATCTATTCTATATTAATCCACCAATTGATATACGCTCCGTCGCAACTAGTACTACTTATATGTATTTTCAATTGAATATATTGAGGATTCTTATTTAGAATGTAATCATATATAAATGAAAAAAGTATTTCTAAAATATACAAAGTGAGTGACATTTGAATAATGAATATGATACGATACGTAGTCCATGCTTCAATTGCGGAAATCACAACCTCTTTTTTGGAATATATATTTTTTGACATATGCACTTGGTGGAAACATGTGATTGTTGTATATATTTAGCTTTCTTTCATTTTCTTTTCTTTTATAAAAAGGGCTTATTATGGACAAAATTAGGTATGAATCGGTCTGCTACAGTATGACACTATCACAGATTTTTAGAATGATAAAAGTTATTAAACAATAATACCTACAAAGCTTGAAAACTCAATACCTATTTTAAAAAAATTAATAATGAATGATTTTCATAAATGATGTGGGAAGTGTAAAGTATTTCAACTAATATATCTATAAAGATATTGCATTACTTTTGGTAGTAGTTGGTGTTGTACTTTGAAAAAACAATTGAAGAAGCAAAGAAAGATAACAAACGAGAAATTTCTAGGAATGAGAGTTCCCCGGAGATCGTGGATGTAGATGGAGAAAAGCTGGAAGATAAAAGCCTTAAACCTCAAGGGACCTGCTGCCATTAAAACCTTTGGACCCCCATTGTTGTTTATACACCAAAAAACTAGATATTTATTGCGTTTGGGGCGTTTCAAGCGCACGAAACCCTCTTTGGACAGCTACTTCTAACTATTCAAAATTGAACACGTCCATATAAAGCCCTACTACAGTACAATAACGTTAGCTTAATTTATTGATAGATAGGGTACCGATAAAGTTATGCAGATAGTAAGATACGGCTTGGACTATGGACATAGGGCCAAAAAACTTGTTAATTATATATGTATGGGCAATCGTTGAAACCACTTAAAATGTAGTTACAAAAAGCTGTAGTGGTAGTCAGTATATTTAAACTAAGCAATGATATATATATATATATTCTCATGAGAGAGATCATTGTATAACAGGACCGCCATATTGAGTGAAACCATATATAATGACACGCTTGTAATATTCAATTCTAGCGATCGTTCGCAAGCTTGTAAATTATTTAGAATGGGTTAATATTCAAGATATCGTATGGGTCAAAATTGATTTGTCTAGAGAGGCAATTGTTTGCCTCAGCATGAGAATATATAACAAATTATATGGTTTGGTTTGGTATGGTTAGAGAAAAAATGTAAAAGAATGCATGGGAACGAAAGAAGATGACAATATATATGTTCACAGAAACAAACATGAAAATCGTAAAAGAGATCTTAGTAGGGACTCGTGTCGCCTACTTCGCACGTGTGATGAAGTGTTGTGGGCATCAAAAGCTAATCCTTTGCGCGGTAGTTGTATGCTACGCGTGGAGAGCCGAACCCTCCTCTCACCTAAACTAAAAGAAATGGGTAATTTTTTTTTAATAATTTGATCATTTGTACGTAGTAATGTAATTATTTGTTTCCCCCACAATATGTAATTTGATCATTCGTTGTTGCATGCGGGAGTTTAATTATATATGCTCAGCTCGTCTAGCTTGGGGACCTCTTTAGTATCCTTGTTTATATACAAATAAAAGTTAAAAGGGAGATTATTCTTAAACGTATTTGGGTTTTGTCAAAAAAAAATGAATATATGGATTTGGGTGATAGGAAATCAAGTGATCTCAAGTGGACTATATAATCGGTATGTGAGTACTCTGGTTTAGAATTCTTTTTTTTTTTATATCTTTGGTTCAATGTTTAAACCTAAACTACATGGTTTCGCAAGTAGGAACGACATCTCTTGAAAAGGAGGGAAAATGTGTGTATTATTATTATGGATGGAGAAAAAAACATTACTTTGTAAATATTCCAAGTGATCGAAATATAATAATTTCCCACTTCGCACCATGACTTTTTTTCTTTTTTTAATTCCATACGTGAATGTCAAACCTAATAAAGTAATATAGTAGTAATAAAAAAAGTGATCACTAAATGCTAAAACAAGTAAATATATGTATTCTAATCTATTTAATTACTGTAAATAAAATAAAATCTTAGTTATATACTTATGTTCAGTTATTTGCTTTCACATACCACCTAATTATCTATTTTGGATATATGTGTTGACAAAATTTCACTACTTTTTTTTTTCTTTTTTTGTGTGTGTTGTTGTTGCCAAAATTACATCAACCCATTATAATACTCTCTCTGTTTTACAAAAATATCATTTTGACACTTTTCACACATATTAAGAAAACTTTTAATTATACATGTTTATCTTTGTTTAATAAATAATTAATGATTTAATTTCAATGAAATGATTTTTGGGTTTATGGGTAAATTTGGAAATAGTGTAAAAACTACATTGCAAAAATAAAATGACACTTTTTGTGTGACAAAAAAAAAATTCTTTAGAATTACACTCTTTGTATAAAATATGTATTAAAATATATTGAACGAGAAGCTCGAATTCATATGAAAAGGTTTTGTAATATCGATAATACAAAACTCTCCTAACCACATTACTTGTTATGATCATTTCATAGATAAGATGTCAAAGCCTAATAAATTAGAAGTATGTATAGTTAACAATAAATGATTTATTATGTATGTTATAGACAATTTCAAAGTTAGCTGAAGATACAACTCAGAATTGCTGTTCGGCAGCTATAAATCTATGAGAAGCAGACAATAAATAGAGTTACTGAGTGCAAACTAATCTCACTTCACTTAAAACTAGAGCAAGAGTGTAAAATTGTTTAAACATTTAGTTCGTTTCTTCTATACATAAATTTGTTTTTTTTTGCGTGTGTACTACAAATAGACATGCCACATTATAAAGTATACTATAGAAGAACTAAATGTGGTATTCACAATAACCATTTTTGATTGAATGAATTACACATTGGAAGACCAAATAAATAAATAAAAATTGCAAAAAAAAAAGAAGAAGAAAACAACATGGCTTGGCATGTGAGGACGTTCACATTCCCATGGGAACTAGAAGAACAAACTACTTTACTATGAAACCAACATTTAGGCAATGAATGATGGCTTTTACATTTCGGGGCTTTATGACTGTTGTTGGATTGTTGAAGATATCTGAGATGACAGCGACTAAGATCTCGCCACGTATATTAAAGGCACTACTTCGAATGATCCTGTAATTTTTTGTGTTTTTTCTTTTTACCCCCTATACTGTGAACAATTAAAAAACTCCATTTATTAACCTGTTGTGTTGAGTTGTCTGTAGAATTAATTAAGGTTTTTTTAGTATTGGTCGGGAAGTACAAAAAGTGGGACCACACATTACTACATTTGAAAAAAGAAAAGAAAAAAAAATACGTTCACCTGAGTGAGTGAGCGAGTGGGGGGAGCGGTGCCGTGGCCGTGACTCAACCGGCGACAAACTCGGTCAAACCCGGAGCTCTTTGACCTCTTCCCTACGTGTCTTGTCAGTTTTTTACCTTTTTCTTTTTTCTTTTCAAACCCCGCAGTTAAAAATCATTTTTAAAAGATACTACTAGGTTTTACAGACAAAAACAAAAAATTACTTATTTATTTGATTACACAAGCTAAGCTAAGAAGATAACATTTTTATATACGGGTCAAAAGAAATAAAGCAAACCTGAAGCAATTTTAGCATTTTATATAATTATTTTAAAAAGTGAATTAGGAAGAGGAAGAAGAAGAAAAAAGAGAAAGAGAGAGGAGAAGGGGTAAAGAAGTAAAATAAGGAATGATTCGGCGGGGGAAGCCGTTGATTGCGGTTGGGAGAATAAAGCCATCTGACAATGTGGAGAGAGACTAGAGAGGCCTTTGTCCTCTTCTTCCTTTTTTTTTTTTGAATTTTTGACCTCTTTCCTCCTTCAGTACTTTTGTCTTTTTTTTCTTCTTCTACTACGTATCCGACTTACAACTTCAATATAGATAGATATTAATCCCTACTATTTTTTATATTGTCAAGGGGTTAAAAATGTGACTAATATATATATATATATAGAGAATTTGATTATAATCTCACACACATATATATATAGAGTGTTTTTGTTTCCAACATGGGTTTAATAAGTAGTTGAAACTTCTAGCTATTTTGGTGAATCGGTCTAGTCTAGTCTAGTGTGGTGGTCATTGATGGATGATGAATTAGTAAGTGATGAAAGAAAAATGAAAAAGATCCAAAAAAAAAGAAAAGGAAAAGCAAAAATGGAAGAAGAGAAGAGTGTATGGCTGTCGGTTTGTCGGGTTAACCACTTATTAGATGGTTTAAAAGCCACAAAGCCATTTTAGTTAGATAGATCAACCCACAGATGTCAAAGCTGCCCGTCAACGTGTTTTCTCTTCTTCTTTCATGTACATTATTACTACATGTTTCTTTACTTTTCTAATTTCCATTTTTACTATTCGCACTACTTGTTTTTAACACCTAATTTTTTTTATTTTTTTTTTTAATTCTTGGATGAAGCCTGCTGTATCAGTATAACCCTAACGCTAATGAATGATGTTCAAAGGGCTCACACGATTAGGGGTATTTTAGATAATTTACACACAAATCGAACAAAATCGGTTACTAGGTAAACGTAATAGAGCCCTAAGGCTAGAACATGAAAGATAAGTTCTTTATTACTCTCTTATTTCTCTGTTAACATTTCCCATTACATCCATGTCTCTTTATACTATTTTGGATTTAGGTTAACATGAACATTTATCCTCTAAACATTGGAATCTATTGGTCAATACTAATCCTTGACTTGGACAGCTGTGAATAGTGCTTTTGCTTTTAGGAAGTTTCCCGATCCTTTCCTCATTCTCATCTTGTTTCTCTTCTTTTGCAGATGGGCTTGCTTCTTCTTTAACGGGCTTTGCACTGATGGTCTTCTTAGGCATCCAAATCATATTGTTATTGGGCCTGACGCTTGAGCCCTGTTTCTCATTCTCTTTTGTCTTCTTCTTGTCTGAAGAGAGCTTAGTTAGGTCAGAAACAGATCTTGTCGGCTTCTGAGAAGATGAGGCTGTTGCTTGCTTGATATCCCCCCGCAAACTCGGAGTAGGTGGAACAACGACGCCGAGTTTGTACCGGAGTGAAGCAAACGGAGCTGGCGGGAGAGACTTCGTGAAGATGTCTGCAATCTGGAAGTGGTTCGGGATATGAATGACAACCAGACTTCCAAGAGCAACCTGTTCTCGAACATAATGATAGTGGATCTTGAAGTGTTTGCTGCGCTTGTGAAAAGCTCTGGAGTGTGATGAAGGGGAATCCCTAGCTCTTTCAAGATTTTACAGAGCCAGGTAATCTCTGCAGCTGCTTCTGATAAGGCTCTGTACTCTGCTTCTGTAGAGCTTCTAGAAACTGTAGGTTGTTTTTGGGATTGCCAGGAAATAATATTAGTTCCCAAATATGTGCAGAGGCCACTAGTAGATCTGCTTGTTTTCGCGCAGCCACCATAATCACTGTCACTGTAAGCACGCAGACGACAATCTGTGTTCTTGTGAAAGGAGATTCCCATCGTCACTGTTCCCTTTATGTACCTGAGAATTCGTTTCAGGAGAGTGAAGTCTGAGACTGTAGGCTGGTGCATCTTCTGGCACACAAAGTTGACAGCGAATTGGATGTCTGGCCTTATTGTAACTTGCCTGCTAAACTTCGAAAGTAAGTCGGATTTTCAAAGAGCTTGTCTTGTTTTTCCACTTTTTCCAGCTGCAGTGGGAGTGGAGTTGGCATTGGAGCACAATCAGTCATTCCTGCTACAGCCAGTAAGTCTTCTGCATACTTTTGCTGAGAAAGAAATAAACCCGCATTGTGAAACTGAGCTTGAATCCCCAAGAAGTAGTGGAGCTTACCCAGATCTTTCATTCTGAAATGCTTGTTAAGCTCCAATAATAGATTAGCCAGAACTGTAGAGTTATTACCAGTGATAGCCATGTCATCCACATATAGTAGAAGTAATATAACATCTTTGCCCTTGGTGTAAATGAACAGAGAGGGATCAGATGTACTGCAGAGAAAACCAAACTCCAACAGATAAGTGCTGAACTTATCAAACCATGCTCTTGGTGACTGTTTTAGGCCATAGATAGACTTATGTAGATGACAAACATCATTTGGTCTTGCAGGGTCAACAAAACCAGCTGGCTGAGTCATGTAAACTGTTTCTGTAAGATCTCCATGTAAGAATGCGTTTTTCACATCCATTTGCTTGATTTCCCAGCCCATAATAGTTGCAATATGTAAGACCGTTCTTACAGTTGCTGTTCTTACTACATGACTATAGGTTTCAAGATAGTCTATACCTTCTTCTTGGTTATAGCCTTTTGCAACAAGTCTGGCCCTAAGCTTGTCAAGAGAGCCATCAGCATTGAGCTTAGTTTTGAAGACCCATTTGTGGCCAAGAACATGCATATTTGATGTCCGAGGTACCAATGTCCATGTGTTTGTTGCTTTACAGTTGTTAATCTCTTCATTTGCTGCTTCTGTCCAGCCTGAGTCTTTTAAAGCTTCATGAATGTTTTTAGGCTCAGGATATGTAACTCTTTTAGTTAAAAGAGCATATCTTGGATTTGGTTTCCTAATACCATCTTTTGATCTTGTTTGCATAGGATGCTGAACTGTAGCTTGTATTGGAGCAGATGGAGCTATTGGAGAAGATGAGGCTTCTGCAGTGGGGTTCCTGTCAGTAGCAATACTTGATGACACAATGGAAGTCCTATCAGTAGCTGTATCTGATGATGGTACAGAGCTGTTGCCTATAGGAAACAGATCAAAGCTATCCGTACACCCAGAACTCAGACCATCAACAGGTACAGGAGACTGAAGAACAACATTGGAGCAGGCAGGATCAATAGGTATTTGATTTTGTCTTTCTTCTTCCTTGTTCTGATCTGAAGCTTGAGGAGTTGAACTTTTGGAGATAATAAGACTCTTTTGCCAGGCAGTGTATAGAGGAGTAGACAATGTCAGTTTGGATGACATAAGAGAATGGAAGGAAAACATTTGTTCATCAAAAATGACATGCCTGCTGATGTAGATGCGACCAGTTGCAGGTAATAAGCATCTATACCCTTTATATTTGTCATTGTAGCCTAGAAAAACACATTTCAATGACCGAGGATCAAACTTGTTATGAGCATAGTCTCTCAATGTTGGATAGCAGGCACAACCAAAGACACGAAGAGAGGAGTATTCAGGCTTGTGACCAAAGAGAACTTCATAGGGACTCATCTTATTGTCTAGGACTGAAGAGGGCAGGATATTACTCAGAAAGTTGGCCGTGTAGAAAGCTTCAACCCAATACTTGAGAGGCATATTGCTCTGATACATCATAGACAGCCCCAACTCTATAAGGTGCCTATGTTTTCTTTCTGCTAAACCATTTTGCTGAGGAGTATGAGGGCAAGAGATCAGTTGTTGAATACCATGTTTTTGCAAGTGAGAGTTAAACTGAGCACTTGTAAATTCACCCCCACCATCACACTGAAAACTCCCAATTTTTGACTGAAATTGATTTTCCACTAAAGCTTGAAAAAGTAAGAATACATTGTAGAAATCTGACTTGAGCTTAAGTGGATATAACCAGCAAAATCTAGAGTAGTTATCAATGAAAATAACATAATATCTGAATCCTTGAACTGACATTATTGGTGCAGGTCCCCATAGATCACAGTGGATTCTCTGAAGAGGCCTTGAGGTGACAGTTGAAGAAGCAGAGAAAGGTAATCTTGAACTCTTCCCAAGCTGACATGCTTCACATATCTTCTTGGTGCTTTTATTGATGTTGATAGCTTTATTATTTGATAAATGGTGAAGGATCTGAGAATTAAGATGACCAAGCCTCATATGCCAGACATCTTCAGCAGCTGAATGTTGTCTAGTTGAGTAGAAGGCTTTAACAACGGTGTCCTTCACAATATAGTGACCTTTACTGTGACTTCCCTGGACCAGCAACTGTTTTGTGGCCTTATCAAGTACACGCACAACATCACAATCAAACTCAACAGTACATGGATAATCATGGGTAAGTTTGGACACAGATAAAAGAGACTTTGTAATATCTGGACATACTAAGACATCTTTAATAGGTAAAGTACCTGAGGAAGATGCTATAGTGGTAGAACCTGTGTGTGTAATGGGTAGAAATTCTCCGTTGCCCACCATCACACTGTCTGAGCCCTCATATGGATGAACTTGTTGCAGGTTGTGAGGAGCACTGGTAATATGAGAGGTGGAGCCAGAATCAGGAACCCATTCATGGCCAGCATGATCTGTAACATCAGTGATCCTCATGGCAGTGAGAGCAGTTGGTAGGTCTTCATATTGATAACTGTTGTTGAACCTATGCCAACATTTGAGTGCTGGATGACCTTGTTTGCCACAGATCTGACAGGTAACCTTGTTTGTTGTGTTGTAGGAACCAGAGGAATCTGAACCCGGAGAGATTTGTTGATGAAAGCCTCTGCCTTTGGTGGAGTAGGAGTCTCCTCTGCCTCTAGAACCACCAGATCTGCCTCTCCCTCGACCACCAGAATAGTTTGTGTAAAAGGCTAAGTGAGGAGAAGCCTCAAGATTTGTGCTGTAACTAGACAATCTGTCTGCATAGCTTGTGAGTCTAGAGGTAACATCATCAAAACTGGGAGCAGGAGACAAATCTATCATTCCTTCAATAGATACTTTAACAGGTTCATATTCCCTTCCTAATCCTTTCAGAGCAGCAAAAATTTTCATTTTTTCTGGAACTGGACTGCCTATTGAAGCCAGTTGCTCACAAACACTTTTGATATCACGCAGATAATCAGCCATAGGTCTATCTAGCTTCTCAGAGGTTTGAAGTTTACTCTAAAGTTCAAAAAGCCTTGAAGAAGATACCTTGTTGAAGTGTTTTGCCAGAGCTAACCATAACTCCTGTGAGGTTGTAGTGCCAGTGACCTCAGCAAGAATTTCTTCAGAGAGAGAGCCAAGCAGCCAAGCACGAACGATCTGATCTGCACGGAACCATTCACCATGGTCTGGATTTGGAACTGATGCAGCTATGCCAGCAATGTGTTGCACAAGAATGGTTGCAGGTGGAGCTGGAATGGATCCATTCACAAAGCCAAGTAAATTTTGACCCGAGAGAAACGACTCAAACTGAGATTTCCATGAAAAATAGTTTTTCTGGTTCAACTTGAGAGTAACACAGTTTGCAATATTTAACGCAGGATACGTATAAAGGTCCAGGGATTGTTTGCCCATGGCCTCTGATACCATAAACGTAATAGAGCCCTAAGGCTAGAACATGAAAGATAAGTTCTTTATTACTCTCTTATTTCTCTGTTAACATTTTCCATTACATCCATGTCTCTTTATACTATTTTGGATTTAGGTTAACATGAACCCTTATCCTCTAAACATTGGAATCTATTGGTCAATACTAATCCTTGACTTGGACAGGTGTGAATAGTGCTTTTGCTTTTAGGAAGTTTCCCGATCCTTTCCTCATTCTCATCTTGTTTCTCTTCTTTTGCAGATGGGCTTGATTCTTCTTTAACGGGCTTTGCACTGATGGTCTTCTTAGGCATCCAAATCATATTGTTATTGGGCCTGACGCTTGAGCCCTGTTTCTCATTCTCTTTTGTCTTCTTCTTGTCTGAAGAGAGCTTAGTTAGGTCAGAAACAGATCTTGTCGGCTTCTGAAAAGATGAGGCTGTTGCTTGCTTGATACTAGGATCAATCACCCCTTTATTCACACACTTTTCCTAAAGTTGGCCTTTTTTTCTTCTTAAGTGTTTGTTTGTTTGCCTCAGAAACTGCTGCTCGTCTCTTCACACTCACCACCATATATAACGCCTTGATCATTCTACTATTTTAATCTTATTAATTAACCACTAGTCTTCCTCTTTTTTGACTAGTAAAAGAAACAAAACTAGTTTTAGCAGTATCCATTACTTTATTATACTACTTATTTTAATGTGATAATGTAAACACATTCATTTTACCACCTCGCCGCCCTTATTATGTGAGAAAAAAAAGAAGAGACGTTAAGATTCATGGGAACACTCACATGACTTTGTTCTTTTCATTTTCTTCCCCTCAAATATATAATTGTTTTCTTTTTTTTTTTCTATCTCTGAAGGAAAAGCAATTGACGTTACATTTTCTTTTTATTTTAAAAGAATAATTGTTTTTCGCAGTTAATTTATGATTAATGCGGAGGACTCAAATTTCGCACCTGATTTAATTAATCTAATTAATTTTTCATTTTTTAATAAAATCATTGTCTTAAACGTATGAATAGAGGTGATGTACATTTCAAAAGTTCGACCATCGAATTAAATAAAGAATAAATCATACTCAGAAAAAGAAATCAAGCATTTAAGTAAAACATAATAATGAATGAAAAGGAAATTAAAATATTTATCATTAAATGAAAGCTAACTGTCAAAAAAAAATAGTGTCGCTTGGTACCTTCCTGCTTTCTCCTTCCTTCCTTTTCTTTCAACCCTTTGCCATTGCCATTGCCATATATATATATATATATATATCACACTTGAGCTCCTCCCTTCGTCTTCACACAACTCCCCTTCCTTCTCCTTCTCCGGCGACTCTTCTCTCTCTCTCTCTCAGCGCTTTTTAGCTGATCTTCTCGCCGGCATTTCTCTCTCTTTTTTTGTAAAGAAAAAGTTATGGCGAAACCTGCGTCCGTAGCTGCTCTGTTACTGCTGCTTCTCTGCTTTCCGGTAGCTTTCTCCGGCCATGATTACGGTCAAGCTCTTTCCAAGAGTCTTCTCTTCTTCGAAGCTCAGAGATCTGGTGTCCTCCCTCGCAACCAGAGAGTCACTTGGCGTTCTCACTCCGGTCTCTCCGACGGCAAATCAAGCGGCGTACGTCTCTCTCTCTCTCTCTCTCTCTTCTCTCTGTTTTTTCTTTTTCTGATTATACATTGTCCCCGTTCATACCAGATATTAACCCTAATTTCGAGAATCATACTCTGTTTTTTTTTGGTTTTGACACAACATGTTGCTATTTATAGATCTATATTTCGTTCAGACATTGTTCCTCTTGTCTCATCCGGTTACCTGAAATCTTGTGTTTGGTGTTTTTTTTTCTTTTAATCAGGTTAATTTAGTTGGAGGTTACTACGACGCCGGAGACAATGTGAAATTCGGACTTCCGATGGCGTTCACGGTGACGATGATGGCGTGGAGTGTGATTGAGTACGGGAGTCAGTTACAAGCCAACGGCGAGCTTGGGAACTCCATTGACGCCATTAAATGGGGTACTGATTACTTCATCAAAGCCCATCCTGAGCCCAACGTCCTTTACGGCGAGGTACTACTTAAGACTACTCTGTTAATAAATTATTAGTATTAGAAACTGAAATTGATTTTTTTACGTATTTAATTATGGATTTATTGGATTTTTGTTAGGTGGGAGATGGCAACACCGACCATTACTGTTGGCAGAGACCGGAAGAAATGACGACGGACCGGAAAGCGTACAGGATAGATCCGAGTAATCCCGGGTCGGATCTAGCCGGAGAAACAGCCGCCGCCATGGCCGCAGCATCCATTGTATTCCGCCGATCTAACCCTGTTTACGCTAGGCTACTACTCACCCACGCCTATCAGGTATTAAAAGAAAAAACTCGGCGCATCCTTACTCTTTAAAAAGCGCATGTTAGCATGAAAAAGTGTGGGTATAATTAATTACTTTACTAGAGGCAGTTACGTTAAAAGAAGTTGCAGAACACATTATTATTAGGGTTTGTTAGCAAACTAATACGTTTTTGAAACATTTTTATAAAGGTAGTACATTTACTATTCATCATTAGCAAAATAGTACAATTTTACTATTTCAGGTATCTGTACATATAGACAAATGTACAACAACACATTATTGTACATAAAATATTTGTACAAAGGGAAACAACTACAAAAACACATATTTACACATAAACAAATATACATATATAGATAAGAAAAACATTTGTACACGTACAATTATACGTATATATAGACCGCTGTACGGATGATTTTCCGTACAGCGACACACAACTGTACATAAGGATAGCTGGACGTATCAAAATTTGTTTGAAAAATATTATAAATTATTAGAATAAAATGCATATCAAATTATAGAGAAAAAATGTAGATTTTTATATAACTGAAATTTTACTAAAAACAAATTTATTTTGATTAATATTATAGTTATTAGATTTAAAGGGTTTTTTAATAGTGTCTAAATAGTGTCCAAATAGTAAAAATGTATTAGTTTGCTAATTATAAATAGTAAATGTACTACTTTTATAATTATAAATAGTAAATGTACTACTTTTATAATTATGTTTCAAAAATGTACTAAAAATCCAATTAATCCTTATTATTATTGCACTAGCAGAGTAGAGAAACTAGAATATAAAAATAAAGTCACTTAAACGTCATTTTCTGCGCACGTTAGGCGTTTATTTAGAGTAGTAATGAAAATGACCAAACTGAAAATTATGTTTACACGAAAATGTTCCTTTGTTTTTATTCTGACTGCAAAAATGCTTTAGAATAGAAATATCCTCTGAGATTTGCTATAATTTACATTAGTCACCAGGAGTTTAGCTATGTGTGACACTCTACTAACTCTTTTTGAACTTTATTAGAATTTAATTTTAAACACAGTAGCCCTTTACTTTAAAAAATCTAAAACGGCGTTGTTTTTGTGGATCCCGTTAAGTGGACCTGCAAAAAGATGGATTCTTTGTAGAGGGTGAGGAACGACGTCGTTCTCTGTCCATCACGGGTTTTTTGTGTTGTGTTACCGTACAGATCTTGTAATGATCACAGCCGTTCATCTTAATATTTAAATTAATGAAAAAAAACTACGCACGTGCCATCGGCTGTCGGTGCCCCATACTCGTAATAGCTTTCCCCAAATTAACCTCTCTTCTTAACCAATATCACGAGTCTGCCACTGCATACTAACATTGTCTCCATTGTTTTATTACGGATTTGCCACCCTAATTCCTTTTTTTTTTTTTTTTGTTACAGTTGTTTGATTTCGCCGACAAATACAGAGGCAAATACGACAGCAGTATCACCGTTGCCCAGAAATACTACCGATCCGTCAGTGGTTACAATGTAAGATCCGAATTATTTCGTAATCTGAGATTTAATTTAAGTGTTGCTTAAACAAATTGTCTGATTTCTGAATTTGTTCTTCATTTCTCAATGATCAGGACGAGTTATTGTGGGCAGCTGCGTGGCTATACCAGGCTTCAAACAATCAGTTCTACTTGGACTACTTGGGTCGCAACGGTGACGCCATGGGTGGAACCGGTTGGTCCATGACTGAGTTCGGTTGGGACGTCAAGTACGCTGGTGTTCAAACCCTTGTTGCCAAGGTTAGTTAGTTAGCACAACCTAGTTTTTGGACTTTAACTGATTTGAAGACATTTTGGTTTGATTCTAAACCGGTTTATTTTCTTTTCTTTTTTTGATAGTTTTTGATGCAAGGCAAAGCAGGACGTCACGCACCTGTGTTCAGGAGGTTTAAGGATAAAGCTGATTTCTTTATGTGTTCGTTGTTGGGTAAAGGCTCGAGGAACATTCAGAAGACTCCAGGTGGTTTGATTTTCAGACAACGTTGGAACAATATGCAGTTTGTCACAAGTGCTTCCTTCTTGACCACTGTTTACTCTGATTACCTTACTTCTTCTCGAAGCAACTTGAGATGTTCCTCCGGAAATGTCGCTCCTTCGCAGCTTCTTTCCTTTGCTAAATCTCAGGTTGATTATATTCTTGGAGATAACCCAAGGGCGACCAGCTACATGGTTGGTTATGGTAACAATTTCCCTCAGAGAGTCCACCACAGAGGCTCCTCCATTGTCTCTGTCAAGGTCGACCGCACATTTGTCACATGCCGAGGTGGATATGCCACCTGGTTCAGCCGTAAAGGCAGTGACCCGAACCTGCTCACTGGTGCTATTGTCGGAGGTCCTGATGCTTACGACAATTTCGCTGACAGGAGAGATAACTATGAGCAGACTGAGCCTGCTACTTACAACAATGCACCTCTCCTTGGTGTTCTTGCTCGTCTCAGCAGTGGTCATTCCGGTTACAGCCAATTTCTTCCAGGTTTGTGTCTGAAATTCAAAACATAGCAATGTCCCTGAAAAGAAGTTTGGAAGATAGAAGTAATTTGCTAATATTTTTTTTGGTTGTGTCCCTGCAGCGGTTCCTGCTCCTGTTGTCCGAAGACCAATGCCTATTCGTAAACCAAGAGTGACTACTCCAGTCCGAGGTATGCTTCTTTTGTCTGTCTACATGTGAGCCTATGAGTGTCTATTGAACAGAGGCTTGACTCTGTTGAAAACTTGTACAGCTTCTGGTCCAGTGGCTATTGTTCAGAAGGTAACTGGTTCGTGGGTCTCAAAGGGGAGGACTTACTACAGATACTCAACAACTGTGATTAACAAATCTGCTAGACCTCTGAAAAGTCTCAACCTTTCGATCAAGAATCTCTATGGACCAATCTGGGGACTCTCAAGATCAGGCAATTCGTTCGGTTTACCCTCTTGGATGCACTCATTGCCATCCGGAAAATCCCTAGAGTTCGTCTACATTCACTCAACAACACCCGCGAATGTCGCAGTATCAAGCTACACTTTGGCTTGACCAAACAACAATATCAAAACAAAAATCAGTGTGTATAGGTCGTGAGCAGAAGAAGAAGAAGAAAGTCTTTGGTTTTTCCCCTCTGGTTCGTCAAGAACATTGAAAGGTTTCGTCTTTTATCTTCATTTTTACTTTTGGGTTTCTCTGGTGAATATAAAAGTGTTGAAGAAGGGTTGAAGAAAGGTGTGAAGAGACAGTGAAGACTCTTCAAAAAATTAAAGAAGAGTGAAAAGTGCTCATCCTCTTTCTCCTCCAAGTTCAATGCTTTAAAAAAAATTCATATATAAATATTTATATATATAGTGAAAGAGAGAGATAGTGTTTGTGAGATCTTCCTTCTCTTACAGAAAAGGGGTCTTGTGAGATATTGCAAGGATTGGTTTTTTCATTCCTTGTAGCTCCAAAAAAAAAATGTCTTTGTCCTTTTGTGTTTTTATCTTTCTTAGTGGGTCTACTGGCAGTTGTAAAACTCAACAACAGTCCTTAATGAAATGTGATTTGGTCGCTATCAACTTGTGTTAGGTACTTGTCTTCTATACATACAAACAACTTTGAAAGTTAGTTAGTGAAAAAACCCAAGAAAATTAAGCATTACTTGCTCTTTTCTACAAGGTGTTAGATATTTACTCTGAATCTGTCCTCGGTTACATGATTCTTCGTCTTCTAAAGGTTGGTAAAACTTTGACATTTTTCAGCAAAATCGACTTAAGGAATTGATCATCGCTTATATTTGTAACGTTTTCCCCCAAGTTGTTTATATTTTCTACAAGGTGTTAACTACTAATTTAGTTGTTAGCAACTACACTGAATAGAAACGGCTGATTGTGAGAATTATACATTGTAGGTTATACAGACAGAGAACTTTATTACAATATATCAACACAAATACCCAAACCATGAAAAGAGTGTTGACTACAAAAGAAGAAGGCAGAGAAATCTTTGCTTACAAGAAAAAAAAAAAAACTAATGTTTTTGGCACAAGCAACTTTGATATATATTAACACGTCTAGCAATAAAATTTAAAGCGGGAAAAGAAATATATATAAACATGGGAATTGTCCAACACTCTGGCTGCAGATAGAGTATAAAAGCTTCACTTCTTTGTTTTGTTATACATTTCATCGATCTCTTTCTGCGTAGAGAAGAACAGAGAAAACGGTTATTGGGTTAAGATAATTCGATTATGCAGACCCCAAAACATTATGTAGCCTTGATGAATGTTCTGTAACGTGAAAATAAAGGGAAGAGACTTTGAATTTACCTGATAGTACTTGAGAAGCTGAGGCCTCTTCTTCTTGTAAGAAGGTGTGATGAGATCTCTTTCCATGTCGAATGGGACTGTGTCTAAATGAACACCTTTGATCAGCTCAAACCCCTTCAGCTGTAACAACAATGAACCCAAAATTTTATTTGGTTAAAAGAATTTTGAAAAAAAAACAAACAAGTATTAAGAAGAATAATAATGAACAACTATTTAAACCTTTTTGTCTTTGGCTACTCTGTTGAATTCTCCAAGTATAAACTCTTTAGTCTTTTGGTTTTGACAGATAGACTCAAAATCTCCTGAAACATTGTGTTCTTTGGCCCAATGTTCAATCTGAATCTTGCTTGGACATACCACAGCTACTAAGTAAGACTCATAGCTGTTTCCATATACCCATATCTGCAATATGTTTTAAGACTTGATTAGTAATTTTTATTGTATTGTATTTCATAGTTTATATTTTCAACTAATACCGATTCAATGGCGGCTACGTGACTGTAAATGTTCTCCAGGTTCTCAACCGCAACGTATTCTCCTTGTGAGAGTTTGAAGATGTTCTTCTTACGGTCGATGATTTTCATGGCTCCATCTGGTTGCCACTCACCAACATCACCAGTGTGAAGCCAACCATCAATGAGGACTTCTTGTGTGAGGTCTTCACGTTTATAATATCCTGAGAACAATGTCTTTCCTCTGATGCAAATCTCTCCACGCGGCTTGCTTGCAAGAGCGTCATACCCCATCTCTGGAACTGACTCGAGCCTTATGTCAACGTTTGGGACTGGTGGACCAACCGTTCCAAGCATTGCAAGCTCATTTGGGATGGACACAAAACTCCCACCACAGCTCTCTGTTAGACCATATCCTTGCAAAACATGAGCACATGCAACAACTCGAAGGAAAGATTCGATGTGAGCTGCAAGAGGAGCTGCTCCTGAGAGGATCAGACGCACGTTTCCTCCCAACCCTTCTTTCACCTGAAACAGTTTTTGCTTAAAGCGTTCAGCATTTGGTTTTGTACTAATTATCAAAAGGTTGAGGAACCAGAGAGTGTAGATTTTTATTTAACCTTTTTAAATACAACTTTGTCACAGATAGGAGATGCTTGTTCATGAGTCTTCCCTTTCTCCATGTTCTTATGTTTGCTGTCCAAGGTATCTAAAGGTTTCAGAAACAGAGATTTTTTTTGAAAGACTGTGGTTTTAGATTTTAAAATGGTACAACACTTACTAGTTGAATGCAAAGTTGAATAATGCCTTTTTTATGGAACCACCATCAGAGAGTTTCTGCTGAAGACCTTATAAAATGACATAAACAGATATGAACAGTTTAGAAGAATTCATTCAAAACTTGTTTTAACTGATAGTCTTACAAAAGTATTCACCTGTGTATATTCTCTCTAGCACGCGAGGAACAGCACAGAAAATAGTTGGTTTCAATGCAGCAATGTCTTCTATCAATATCTTAACATCCTGATGAAGAAAACAGATTATGAATTATTATTAGCCTCTTATGAACAGATTCTGCATGTAGACAAAACAAACAGACTATGTAACTTACCCCTCGCCAGAATCCGATAGAAGCTGCTTCATAAATAAACAGCTCCTCAATCACGCGATCGAAGATGTGAGCCAGAGGTAGATATGAGAGATAAACATCTTTACTGGTTAACTGTAAAATATATTTTTCACAATGGAAACAGAGAAGAAAGTTATTACAATGATCTATTCTTGAAGTAGTCAAGTGATGATGTAAACAAAGAAAAAGTTATACCTCTTCATTGATAGTTTTAAGCAATTTTTTAACACCTTCAAGGAGATGAATAATGCTCTCATTTGTAAGCAAGACTCCTTTAGGATCACCAGTTGTTCCACTTGTATACATAATGGTGCAAACATCGTTTCTTTTCTTCTCTGGTAATTCAAAATGTTTACCCTCACCCTATACCAGTAACACATTTTATATTAATTCTGATTGTTAGTATGATGTTAAAGTAGAATACAAATATGATTCTCTTACTAGCTTCAAGAATTGGTCCCATGAATATATTTCTAACCCAACTCTTTCAGCTTCTGCTCTTTGCTCATTTGTAACCTCACCAAAGCTCACAATATCTGTTGTAATTAGAAGAAGAAAAAATGAAAACAATTTTCTTCATTCACAGGACTTTTATCAAACACAAGAAATAATAGCTTGCTTACTCTTCAAATATTTAGTTGAATTCGGAGCTGTCTTTAATAACTGAAACATACAAAAAAAAAATAAAAAAAATTAGTCAGTTGACTTTCATAGTCGAGTTAGCCTTGAACTGAAACATAGCATTAAGCTAATGATCAAGAGCTTTGACATATTCTTATAATCCATTAGTCTCTAATAATTAAGAGATTATTACCTCAGAGATCTTTTTCTCCTCAGAAAAAGCAAGTGAGACCTCAGCATGACAAATGATGAATTCTATTGCTCCAGCACCTAACAAATGCATCATCCAAATCCAATACAAACTATTATACATACACGAATCTGACTGTAACTGAAAAATACAATGTTACATACCTAGAGTGTCATATAAAGGTACACAGTAGAGTCCATGAGCGTTGCAAGCCTGAAATCAAATAGAATCATTTTTTTTTTTTAAACATGAAAATTGGATAAATACTTGGAATGATTGAGAAGTAGTGAATTAATGTGAAAAAACATGGTATATATATAATTCATAACCATATAATCAAAAATCTTGATGTGACTCTCATATTAATTACCTCCATGCTTATAATCCATTCAGGACTGTTGGCTCCATAGATACCACATTTTTCTCCCTGGTCCACAAATCGTATTCAATTGTATTAAGATACTGTTGAACAGTTTTATATTAATGTTGATAAAAAAAGAACACTAATTATTAATTACTTTTCCAACTCCAATAGTTCTAATAGAGTTTCCAAGGTTAATGACTACATCATATACTTCTTTGTAAGTTTGCCATACATATTTCCCAGCCTGTCAATAATAACAAAAGAAAAAAATACACAAGTCGTGTTAATTAACTCCTGATTTAGTTGGATAATACTAATAAATACGTTTGCTGATTACTTACTTTTCCATTAACGATTTCTCTGCGACCAAGCATAGGATTATCTGGAGACTTCTCCACAGACAGGCTGAAACCAAAACATATAGCATTCACATAAGAAGTCCACAAGTAAATAGCCATGAACAGAGAGACACATAATTAACATGGTCGTAATAATGAAACAGTTCTTATTGGATAAGTTCTGACATCTTAATTGGATGTTATTATTTGATCACATTTTGCTAATTCATTAATGGTTGCACTCGGATCTTCCATATGAAAAGTCAAAAAGTCGCCGGTGCAATAATTTGACTAGTCTAAAACGTACGAAAAATCTAATGTTGAATGTTGAACTTTTACATAATTCATTTAGAGTCATAAATCAAACGTCGAAACAAAGTATTCTTCCCACGAAAACTAAAAACTAGAAACAATTTTCACCCAAAGAAAAACAAAAAAATCAATTATAGTCCAGCAAACTTCAAATTGTTAACAAGAAAAAAACCACAAAACTTTGCCAGAAACACTTCAAATTGTTAAAATAGACAGTGATCTAATAGTTTGTGTTAATGTCGTTGTTGTTCGGATTGAAAAATTATGGATGTTGTTGTTGACAAAACAACAAAAATACTTCAAATTCGTAACAACATTAATTTACATTGAATAACTGTTAACTAGTTTCTACGTACCAACATTAAAAAAAAAAAAAACAAGCAACATGATTCAACAACTAAACTTCTCCTTTTTACATACTCCTATATATATAAATTAGTGAAACCAAAAAGGTGGAGTTTGATCTTTGGTAAGAGAAGTACAGAAGAAATATATATATGAAGAGAGATAGAGATATCGAACCGGAAAATATCCCATGCACTGACGAGATCATCAGCCGGTTCAGGAAAACCGTCTTTAGCGTAGATACTCCGGTAAACCGGACCAACCGATGGACTTCCTCCATCAACACCTTCCTTTCCCTTCTCAACCTCTACGATGTATTGACTCTTCGCCATTTCTATATGTGTGTTTTGATCCTTCTTTGATTTTTAAAATTAGAGAGAAAATTATACTGAGGAAAACAAAAAAAAAAATAGGATTTGGAGGACACGAGGGTAGCTGACCAATCCTCAATATTGGGTAATATATATATAAGAATTTTTATTTTATTTCCCTCTCA